AAAAATATATTAGGGCAAAGATTTCAATTGGGGCCAGCAGCTTCTATGCAAACACTTTGATTTGTCTGATAATTCTATTTTATCAATGGAACTTAAAATTCTAGAAATGATTTACCACCGTATAAACAGTCTACCATTGAAAACACCTTTCCGTAGACAATGAGAAGACAACTGGATTAGACAACAAGGCATGGTCATATGTTATAAATTCTTTATTAAACCCCCGCTTGAAAAGAGGGAGGGTATATAGTAATCGGTATGTCCGTCCGTCTCCCCGCCCGTCCATGCGTTTGTTACGCTTTGGGGTACCCATCTCTTATCTGCAACTTCTGTCATAGCACTGAATGAAATTTGATGAAACTTTCACAGAATCTTTGTTACATATTGCCATTGTGCACCTTATATTTTACTTTTTGATCCGACACATATTTTTGTTTTCCCATAGGAAAACATTAACACTACCATTATATGTATGTGGAAGGCGGGGGTATCATTTAGTGAGCTCATTGCTCACAGTGCCTCTAGTTTATTCCCATTCTTCAGATAAAGACTAAATAAAATCAATCTAATTAAAATTAGATGTTAGACCCGCTCGCACACTCGCTACACTAAATAAGATGTTAGATCCGCTCGCACACTTACGGTGAAGCGAGTGTGCAAGCGGATCTAACACTTAATTTTAATTAGATTGAAATAAAATCAAAATAAAATCATATTAATATAGCATTACTTTTCACGCTTTCAGTTTTGAAAATAGCAAAAATAGACCTATGGAAACCCCCTGGTTATCTTTTTGACGTATGAGTTGTCACGCTGTGTGAAAACAGTAGTTTATCAGTCAATATTTTCTCTAAAATATTACGACATACATATTTTAATAGCTTTTCACACAAAAATTAATTAAAAATCTTATTTCATTTAAAAGTTATTAAAACTTCAAATTTTTTGGCGGGTTTGATTGACACATACTTGCACTTTCACAAATTTTAACCTTATTCTTAATCCTTAGGAAAAGTGGCAATCTTAAAAAATAATTTTATTCAGAGTAGAAATGTTAGAAAGCAAAATTCCTTCACAAGTATCGTCATTCCGAACTAAGAGTTGCGTACAGAGTTTAGCAAATCGAGCACACTCGTGTTATGTACACAGTTTTTGTAAACAAGGCACGAGTTCTGTTATTGTTGATGTTTACAATTCACTGGGTGCGTTCAATCGTCACAGTCTGCTTACCACAACTGCACGGACTGACAATATATTGTCTGTTTGTTTTGCTTTCGAACGTATCTACTCTGAATTTTCTGTATTAAAGTATTAATATTTTTCATTTATACACAAGGAGATTGCCACTTTTCCTAAGGATTAAGAATAGAATTTGTGAAAGAGCAAGGATGTGTCAATCAAACCCGCCAAAAAATTTGAAATTTTAATATCTTTTATGTGAAATAAGATTTTTAATTAATTTTTGTGTGAAATGCTATTAAAATATATAAGTCGTAATATTACAGAGAAAATAATAACTTCAAATCTGTGTCTAAGTACCTTTAATGTGTTTTGTTGTAGTCTGTCAACAAGTTTGATTTAAGCAGATGTGTTTGCATGTAGGTATAGAATGTTAATTTCTAGTGTTTCTACAAAAGTATCTTCATAATAGAAATTCAAAGGAAAAACCTTAAAGACCACACCAATGCAAAATGTTTTTTGGACATCGAGGAAAATATATTCGATAAAAGTGTTAATATTAAGCTTCTTTAATCAATTTTCACTATATGGTACGTGGCATTAATCCTTTTGAAAAATAAGGTTCTTAAACAAGACGGTTTTCAAGATATATATAATATATATTATATAATATCTTTTGTTCTACTAAATAAAAGTTTAACTTGACCTTTGGATGCTTTATACTCAATAAGACATTTTGATTTTCAGAAAAAACGGCGGGAAAGGCGTAAGGACAAATAAACATGCTATGCTCTTTCGGCTTTAAAATTGGAGAAACTCTTGTTTTATTTTTCAAGTCATTAAAAAGTAAACAGGGTTCCATTGGATTTTTTTAACATAACGATGAATCCCTGCATGACATATCCTTTGCAAAATAATGAAATTTATCGGTTTAACGCCTGACAGAAAAACATTTGACACAATGTATCAAATTTGATAACAAATAATTAATCGAGATGAGAAACCCAAGTTCATAATAATGTTTTTCCATTTGGTTATACTGGAAAATCTAACAGAAAACATCTGCCACAATGATAATATTTCAAAGTATCAATTTTGATAACAAATAATTAGTTTTACAAATCGAGATGAGAAAACCAAGTTCATAATGATGTTTTTCGTTTGAGTTCTACTGGAAAATCTAACAGAAAAACATCTGACACAATGATAATATTTCAAAGTATCAATTTTGATTACAAATAATTAGTTTTATGAATCGTGACGAGAAAACCAAGTTAATAATGATGTTTTTCGTTTGAGTTCTACTGGAAAATCTAACAGAAAAACATCTGACACAAGATAATATTTAATAATACAAATAATAGTTTTTGAATGTTTTTGACGAGAAAACCAAGTTAATAATAATAATGTTTTTCCTTTGGGTGATACTGTAGCAGCTGATGGAAAATGACAAACACCATTTAATTAAAGATTTTTATACATGTATTAAGAACAATCATTATAGGTACAAATGTACCCACGTTTTCATTTAAAGTAATATTTTTATATGTACTTATATCCTTGTCTTGTAGTGCCCTTTTGTGATACAGATCATATTACTGTATTATTTTTTTTTTTAAAAATAGAGGTACTTTGAGCTATGAGCTCACTAAATGACACCCCCGCCTTCCATATGGTTGTAATGGCAAAGTCCATGTTTTGATCTGAGAGGATCCGAATAATTGTTTGATCAAAAATTAAAATGTGGAGTTGTGGGCAAGAGATGGATACCCTTCAATATTATAGAAAAAATGGCCTTGTCCATGCTATGGTCGCGGAAACGCGGAAACCCAAAATATGTGTCCAATAAAAAGTAAAATAGGAGTTGTGACAAAGATTCTGTGAAAGTCTCATTAAATTTAGTTCAGTGGTAAAGAGGAGTTGCGGGCAAGAGATAGGTACCACAAAGCGTGACAGACAGACAGAAGGACAGATGAACGGACGGACATCCTGTTCACCTCATAAACTCAAAATTCACAATAAAATACAATCTGCTTTATACGTATAAGAAAAAAACCCAAAGATTTTTATTCTTTCTGCAAAGTGCACTGGACAATGATTCTTTGCTTCATGTTTAGTAGAAGGTTTTGAAATGATTTCTTTTATTTTTTGTGTTTGAAAATCCCTGAAAAAGATTTCATAGTTCAGGAATTTCAGTTACTAGTGTAAAAGTCAAAGAAACAGATGTTAAAAGGTGATTGCAATATATGTAATGCAAGAGTATGAAATTTACACCAACGTGGAAGTCTTTACGGGAATTAATTCCAATAATTCTTTTATCATTCTTTTATAATGCTCAGAACACGATTGAATGTGGGAATTAATATAATCTTTTTCTCTTTTTTCAGAATTCTATACTTTAGGTCCTCTTTTTAAATATTTTATTGACATTTTTGCACATTCATCAAGTCTTGAGTTGAAAGCTTTTGAAATTGAGTCATTATCAGAAAACTATTCATTCCTACGTTCCACAAATTTAACTTGAAATAAATTGTGTATGATTCTATCGCAACATTCCCGGTACTGGTTTTATATTGTTTGATTTATGATACATGTATGTCCAAGTTGGTGGTCCCTCGTCTTTTTTTTTAGCAAGACGATTTGGGTAAAAATTATTGTCGTCTCTTCCTTTGGGAAATAAGCTCTAGGCAAAATATACAGGTCCAGTAGCTGAATTTATTTTCACTCTTGATTTGTGTTTTGACATCTCACATATTAAAATACAACCAATATATGAATGACGGATAGGCAAAGACGGTAAATGGGTTCACGATCTTATGATGAGACACATCTTCCAAATTTGTCCATTAATATATTAACACAATATTACTATACTAGTAAGTGGGAAGAGGTCAAGACAGGGAATATGAAGTGCAGCGTTTTAAATGAAAATAGTGCCGGAGAATTGCTATAGTACAATATTTTTTAAAGAAATATAAAAACTAATAGAATAACAAATAAAAATTAGGTTAATTCATAATTATAATTCAAATAAAACGTTAACTATTCAATGCAGTACTAGTGTAGCAGATCCAAAGCAAACAAAGAGAAAAGAAATTATTTTTACTGTATGGAAACTTCATACGGAGACAGAGTTGGAAACAACCTCCAAATGGTTTCATTATCTAGATACCAACAGACTCCATCATCGAATTTCTTGGTAATCGCTTTTAGAGAGGTCTGTTGTCCATTTGTATGTACCAGATTGATATAAGCGCAAATTCACCCCAATCCATCACTAAGTTAGCAAGTTTTCCACGGTAGTTTTTGAAAATAGCTACAAGAATCAATCAAAAACATCTCAAAATGAAATAAAACGATAAAAAATATAGGATCTTTATATATCATAAGATATGATAATAATACATGTTTGTATGTACCCCAAGAATATTGTTTGATAAAATAAAGTCTATTATAAATCTAGTGATATTCTTTTAGTCAGAGACATTTATTTTAAAAGTGTTTTACAGAAAAAAATACAGTGAATAGTTCATATTGATATTATTTCTAGTGTCCCAAACTTTTATCATATACATGTTAGCAATGTCATATTGTTCCTAGCTTTTATCAGATAGGTAAACTAAACTAAAATAATTGACTGATGTTTACTTTAAAACAAAAATATAATATAAATTTTTAAAATGCTAGCAATTTTTACATGGATTATTAAGTTTCTTATCTTTTTTTCTGATATGAGATTGAAAAAGAATTACATAAGATCCCTTCCAAGTTATTCCTTGTAGACCGGAAGTCCGCAGAGATTTGCAATCCAAGTGACGTACTTACACCTTTTACAGTGATTCCTCCTATATACTTCCGGTACACTGTTGTCTTAGTTCGGTCTTTCCGGTTGACGATAAAGGTCATGACCCTGTCATCTTTCACTGTGATTCTTTCTATCATCTTAGTTCCAAATTGACCATCAGTGCGGTAGCCTGAAGTTAAAACACAAAATGATAATTAAGAAAAGATTTTCAGAAATCGTTTAATGATTTTTTTTTAGTTTTGAAGAGTATATTTAAAAAATAAAGTTTTTTTTTTTTGGGGGGGGTGTTTAAAAGGAAATCAATGGTATGGAATCATTCAAGTAAAATAACAAACCCCGCCTATAAATATTTTTGTGTATATTTTTGTCTTCAAAGAAACATGATGAATAGGATGAACTAAGTACAAAGTCGTATTTATTTGTGCATCGTAGAATGTGTTAATGAAAGAAAAGCCCATTGTTTAGGAAATGTTTCATAAAGGTCCTAACTAAAGTTAAGAGTTAGAGGAATTAATTTAGAAAAAAATTTCTTTATGAGAAATGAAGGATAAAATTTATTTGAATGCATATAAAATATTTGCCATCTAGTTTTAATAAATGTATAACATGATAAATAGAAACTTTTCCAGGTTAATAATGATGAATGCGCTAAACAATATAACAATTTTATTTCTACAATCAGTGACACAAGCTTACCTGTTACAGATGAGGGTAGTTTCAGAATTCTGTACACTTTGAAAGCGGTCATTTGTAAATCAAAGCAAAGAGGATTTTGAAGTCCAGGAATAACGATTCCAAAAGATGGATCCTTTGATTTCTTTGTAAATAGTGAAATCGTTGCGTGAATATACTCAAAAAAATTATATGACTGTAAACATTTGTCAAAAGACGATGAGAACACTTAAGGCTCATTGATACTCGAATAAGAGAGATAACTTTTAATGACATAAATGTCTATTATTCCTTTATAGATTTGTCAAGTTGAAATGTCTTTTTTTTGTTAATTTTGCCCTGCAAGCTATGATATAATTGTTTATGTTTTAATTATAAATATATTTCTATCGGAAAATCATTAAAGTTAAGGTCATTGGCAACGCATGGTTTGCAGAGAAAAAAGGTTTATACATAGGTTTTTTGTCCCCCGCTTGAAAAGTGGGGGATATTAATTTGGGTTTGTCCGTCCGTCCGTCTAGCTGTCCGTCCGTCTTTCTGTCTGTCTGTAACGCTTTCGTTTCCACACGATATCTCGAGAACCCATTGAGCTTTTGCAATGAAATTTAGCATAGCAACTCCCTATGGACTAAAGAAGACCCCTATTGATTTTGAGGTCAAAAGGTTAAAGGTCATGGTCATAAATAAGCAAATTCTGTCTGTAATAACACTTTCGTTTCCACACGATATCTCTAGAACCATTTGAGCTATTGCAATGAAATTTTACATAACAACTTCCTGTGGCCTAGGGAAGACCCCTATTGATTTTGAGGTCAAAAGGTCAAAGTTCAAGGTCGTAAATCTATACATTCTGACTGTGTGTAACACTTTCATTTCCGGGCGATATTTCAAGAAGATTTTGAGCTTATGCAATGTAATTTTATACCAAAACTCCCTAGGAGCTCTCTCACCCCTCTCAAAGTGCCCCGCCCCATTTGTATTATTAGTATTTATAGTATGACATGTCGCTATTTTTAGCACAGGGGCATGCGGAGAGTTATTGCGTATAAAACAGGTTCTCGGCGGACTTTATGTTCTTATAACATCTATAAGAACTGTTTAATAAAGGCTAAATAAATCAAACACCATGGATTGTGTAAAATTTTGACAATATCGAGCATAAATATATACATGTATGTGACTTCACTTCTGCATTTACGCATTGACATTTAAAGCGCCTCCGTGGTCTAGTGGTATGTCTCCCGCTTCATAAGTGAGAGATCCTGGGATCGAATCTCGGGCGATACTTTTTTTTTTATTTTCTTTTTTTTTAAATGATAGTATTCAGCATGTGACAAAATTTATGAGGTTATAAAATCATTATTACAGTGTGATAAATATTCCATATAAAAAGAATCTTCTATACACATAATAGAGAATAAGCAATCAAATCTTTATACGCATATTGACATACATGTATTTTATTTGCATCAGTAGACATGTATACATTTAATAATTCTACTAGTCAGGGGGATCCGACTTTTTCCCTAAACGGGGGACACGAATTCTCTGAATTAGCTTGTTCACTTATGAAAACAGTCATTGAGTGTGATCTCCCGTATGGAATCTATAGGCGGTGAAAACAAATACAGACTGAGAGGTAAACAAAAACACTTGTGTTTTTTTATCGGATATATTCAACTCTAAAGTATTAAAAGAAGAGCAACGATGGGTTTGTTTACATTGTGCTGAGGGGGCAGACAGTCAACAGGTCGTCATTTAGAATAGGTACATGTATGCTGGGGAGTGCAACGATGTGACATAATTATGCTGAAAGTGGTGATAGCTAGGTAGACCGGATGAGAACGATTCTATAGGTTACTTGAAGGAGGCGCCATTAAAGTTGATAATAAATCCTTGCCAAAATGTTTTATGACAGTTCGTTTCCAATAGAGTAAATTATAGAAAAGAAGCAAAAAACAGTCTCTTGATTATTATGAATAATAATTATATGTTAAGGGAAGTAACTCAAAATTAAAGAACAGTGCTGGTATTTCTGTGTCTTGTTTCTATATTTGCATTTTCAGCCAACGTATATGCATGTCATCGGAAATGAGGATTCAACAACGTATTTTATGTAGAAACTTTATAAAATAAATGGGTTTTAGAGAAAACTTACGGTTAAAAATAATATAGGTCCATTTTGTCAACTTTTTACATATAAAATGCATTGAGAATTGTAAAAACATTTAATTGACAAAAACTTTAAAGGAAGGCTGGTTTGATTGGTTAAAAGGACCTGAATTAAACATGTTTGTTACCATTAAACCTGTTCTAAAGTTCTTGAAAAATACTATACGAAAGCCAGAAACCTTGGCAATGTCCTTAAGGTAAACATTTTATATGAGTGATCAGCGGGTTTATGAACCTTAATTGCTCTGTTAAATACCAACCTGTTTTCTTTGGTGTCAGTATAGATGGCGTAACTGGTTTTGGAGTAGTTAAAGTAATGGTCATGGATGGTTTTGAAGTAGTTAAAGTAAAGATCATGGATGGTTTTCCTCGAGATAAAATAGGAAAAACTAGCCACTGACTGCATTTTTTGGTCCTGCAAATTAAATATTATTTGGAATTAGGTCATTTGTGTGTGTTAAATGCAACCAATGGTTGACAAATTGTATTGAATATAAGGACGAATTAATGGGAAAAAAACAGAGATTTCATTAATCATACAAAACACGATTCTTTGAACATGACAAAACTAGTTTGCAAATACTTTTTTTTAATGTTTTTTAAAATATACTTAATTTTTTTTCTTATAGATACTGGAGTCTAACACCAAAATATAAGTTCTATATGAAATTAAGAATGCCATGGCATTGGTTTAATTTAAATTTAGATCAAGTTAAATTTAAATCACATTGAATTTATTTATTGATCTTGATTTAAATTTTAAGAATTGCAAATTCTCGTCGGATAAAAACTGGATATGTTCAACAGGTATGGAAATTTATTGCAGATGATTTGAAAAATAATATGAACGATTTAAGACACAATTTACACTAACATCTAATAGCATCCCCTTGAGGGTCACGTCAGAGGTCAAATTCTATCAACCTATCAAATCGTCGCCTGCAAAATCATCATATATTGTTGAAGAGAATAAGTCTAGAGATGTTCCGAATTTGCCCTCTGACGTGACCCTCTATGGAATGTTGTTAGATGTTAGTGTAGCAAGTATGCGAGCGGATCTAATATCTAATTTTGATTAATTTGTTTAAGACACTTGTTCAAAACAGCACTTGGTCCTGCGGGAGCCGAATCTTTATATAGAAGAAAAATAAGTTTTATATCAAGACATTATTTTACGAAATGTCTCGTCTTATTTTCATTTTTACAATTATGTTAATTGATACTGGAATATTGCACCAAATTAAATGTTGCTGAATTCGGATTCTAATGGCCTTAGTTCGAGTTAAATTAAGATCAATATTAAGAATCGGTCTCGGGTTGGGAAAAATGAGAATTTCTTTTCAGATTCAAGAGGTATTACTGTTAAAGACATTTTAAACATGCATGGAAATTTCTTGCATAAAAAAGGTACTCTTTTTGTTAACGACGCAACACTGCATAGTTACGGTTTATCATGCATAATGAAAATGGGTTATAGTATTAAAATTGCTTAAACTGCGCCGAATGTTTGCGAGTAGGACTCACAGTGAACTTTTCCTTAAAAAGAAGTATAAATTCACTCTATAACAAAAACAAATTATATTTTAAGAAAACAATGTGAAATTTCTTTCCCTTGTACAATTGTTCAAATTGCCTATATCTCGGCCCACAATGTGTGCTTGTTACTTAGTACATCTGCTTTGTATCAGATCGACTTTTTAAAAATTTCATTTACGTACATTTATACATGTATATGTAGACAAAATTGAGATGAAAATACACTTACTGTTGTTCCACACAGCACTTGGTCCTAAAGAAGCTGAATCTATATAAATATAATTGAAAATGAAATTAAAAATTCAGAGTTATGCATCGTTTGTTCAAAATTTTTGAATTATTACTGAATGCTGTAATTAATATTGCGCCAAGATATATGTAGATAAAATTCTGATTTCTATGCCCTAAGTAGCAGTAAAATTAGGTTATTTAATATGAATTACTGGTCTCTTGTAAATCAATTAAATCAATCGATTAAAATTAAAACAATATTTATCATCAACGTGTTCATTGTAACCATGTAAACATATAATTAAGCTAGTACAGTACTTTATCTATGTATATACATAAACTCAACACTCAATAAAACATTTTCAATTTTTCAGAGTTTTAATTGCAGGTATCGATTAGTTATACATGTATAAGGAGCTAATAAGCACAAAAGAAATATAAATCTCTAGTAAAAAGACGTTAAATTGAAAACTGCAGTAAAAGAATTATCATAAAAATGATGACTTTCATATATTGTCAATTTTTCTTACTTATGTAGTTATAATACTCTAAACAACTGCTTACGGGCCAGTTAATGACGCAAGATCATATTCTACGATGAAACAATTTCTTAAACGAGGCAAGCTATTGTCAAACAAGGTGATGTAACAAGGATACCAAAGTCTTTTTAAAGTCAGCATTTTGCGATTTTTATAGCCAAAACAATGACCTGGTCAGCAAATACAATCTGTCAGTAAGTCGATTGCTGACTGACGTTTTTCATACAATTTTAAAGGCGAATATTTACAAACAAAAAATGACGACGGATTTTAACGTTTGTCCGATCACGTCAAAGAGTACAAGGCGGGACTGACCGACCAAAAGGGCTTGCTCCTACCACTGATGTTTTAGAAGTGCTCTGCTATAAATTTGTATTGTTTCAATTAATTTTAAAAACTGATTAATATTTTTTTATCTGCATTATTTATTTTCAGAAAACAGGTTAAAGGACTTACTTTGTGGCTGAGAAAACAATTAAAGGACTTACTTTGTGGCTGAGCCCAAGGTGAAAACATATGGTTTTGTACCACCTGTCCACTGCGACTGCCTGTTAAGAATTAATATCAATATTATTTTTCCAAAGTTTTGATGGAAAAATTCGAAATCAGTCACTCCTAATCTTAAGTTAAAGCCTCTTCATGTTAAAAAAAAAACACATTTTTGTCCAACTTAATATCTCAACAACGTAATAATGATAAATTCTTCTTGATATGTGTCTGCTGCCTTTACCTCACTTGGACTTGGATTAATTTTGGTTTTATCGGGAAGAGTAACCACCATAAAAGTTAAAGGTGTCACAAACTGATACTGTTATAAAAAAAAAAGAAAATTAAATAAATATTGTTCAGGGTGATAATTCATAATCAGATCAACGATAATTTTGTTTTCAAATATTTTTATCAAATGTTTGCTCGCGTATGTAATGGTATTTGTACTTTTTACTTTCAAAGAAAGTTGAAGAATGTTGTCCTCTAACTTTTTTATCTCAGACGGTGAATCAAGTACATCTTTATTTTTCAGCATTTGTTTGATAGACAAATACGCCCAGAGTTTCTCTATCATGCCTGGTTTTCTGAAGGTCATAGGTTGTGAACGTATAAGAACCTCATTCCATCGGGGATAAAATGGGAGAATGACGCTATGATAGGGAGGTATATGAATAGACACTTTGGTCTTATGTCCTTCTCCATCAACAGTCATACCCGACTGTAATTTGCTCAGATCTCTTATTTGACCAGAAACAATCAATGCAGTACCCTTGAAGTAAGTGTTGAAGATAGTCTCAGTAACTGTGGAGTCATACAGTGTTCCATCGATATAGCTGAATGAGACATTCTTCAGTAAAACGGTTGATATTTCTTCATAAAACCCAGCTATCTGGAGAGATGCATCAGAGTCTTCATAATTTTCCTTGCAAATCCGTTATTCTGTGCTGCGAGCCTTTTGACTATATCAAAGTCAGCATCTTTTCCAAAAACAAGACTAAAAATGGGCATTTCCGCTTCGTTCTGTTTCTTTACATTTTCTAGTATGCTTTCAGTTCTGATCTCTCCAGAGGTGGCTTGTCCATCGGTTAAGAAAACCAGAAGAGGTGCCCTTCCTTTAGTTCCACTTATTCGCGTTTTTGTAAGCCTTCTCTCAATGAAAGGTTAATATTGGTTCCTGAAAGTTTTCAAAAAAACACAAAAAACAATTACCATATTTCACTTTCAATTCATAGGAGTTGGAGGCTTTTAATGATCATACGCATTTACATAATTATGTGATTCCTCCGAACAGGCTTTTTATAATAATAAAATAAGAAATAAATATTTGTATCAAAGAGTTCAGTATACCCTCTCTTGCAACGGCGTTTTTTTATAAAATGTTTGGCGGCATCTTTGTTCGAAGGTGTTGCGTAAACAAATTGGGATTTCCAGTACCATACTGTAGAATCAAAATTTTAATGTAGTGATCATGATTGTATCTTCTGTCTTAACATCTTCAATAATTTTGGACATGGATTTTTGAAGCTGTTTCATTTTTGTCCCACTCATGGAACCACTTTTATCCAGTACGAATACGATATCCATTGGCATCGGTTCGATTCCCTCGGGTGCCAAGAAATGCACAAAATAACCATCCATTACCTGAAAAGATGCTTTTATGACAAATAAACATGTATCAATTGTGCAATATGTATATCATATAGCTCAGATTTTAAATCCATCATTAAGAAATGAACGTATACTTATTTCTGTTTATTTGTTTGTCTTAAAAGTTTGCGTCTCCATCTCCATATGAGTGAAAATTCTTGAGAGGGACGTTAAACAACAAATAATCAATCAATCAATCAATAAAAGCTTAAAAGGTCATTTCATTTTTTGATTAACTAATACCACTAAATTATTTTTTAAAAAAAAATATTTTTGCCCACTAAGTCTAATCTTAAACACAATCATTATTTTGCATTCAATAATTAGAAGTAAAGGCTTTTTGTCTGGAAAAAAATATACATATCTTTTTTCAAGCTGTTTTTGTCCTTTTTTGCTTTAAATTTACGTACATGTAGTATGCATTACATATTTTGATATGCTTAAAGAAATAGTTTCATATACCTTCTGGTCCTTCTGTAAGAAGATCATTTCTTATTGGCAGGCTTTTGATGGTTGTAATATTCCTTGATTCCTTGATTAAGACGTTGATTTTTAAATCTTCCACCACTTGTCCAGGATTAATGTAAATAACATGGTTGTATAGACCTTTTGTTCCCCTGAGAATTTCCCGATATGTTAACTCGAACGCCACTTTTTCTCGAGATGCCACATTGACATGGATTTGAAATTTGTAAGTTTGTCTGGGTCTATAGAATATAAGCATAAAGTTATAAGCATTTTAACGCAAAAGTAAACGTTTATTTAAAGAGAGATAAATCTTAATGCCCATTTCTTCAAATGCTATTCATTTTCCCCATGGTGGAATAATTTTAATTACTGAAAGTTCTGTGTATTCACTGTTAGTGTTTAAATAACACGGTCATCATTCCTAATTGAACAGGAATTTACATGAAAGGTTTGTATAAAAATAATTTATTGATTGTATATTGTTTTTTTTTTTTATAGAAAAATTGTGACATTTTTCTACTTTTTGTAATTCAACTTATATTCATAGTTTCCTTTCTACGGAAGAAATTCTTCAAAATCATTTGTCTTTTTTTTTAATATCTCAAAAATCCAAAATGAATTTGAACTACCATATATATTGGATTCCGAAACTTCATAAGAATCCTTACAAGGAGATACATAGCAGGTTCCAGTAAATGTTCAACCAAGTCTCTTTCTTTACTTCTCACAAAGATATTAACAGTAGTGAAGAAGAAACGTCAAGAGTACTGTGCAACAATATATACAAGAAGTGGTGTAAATGAGATGTGGATAATAAAAAAAATCCAAGGAACGTTTGGACAATCTGAAATCACAAGTTTTTACCAAAATCAACAGCTTAAAAACTTATGATTTTTTAAAACTTTATACACAACCATTCCCCAAGCTGAATTAAAGTCCAGGCTTCTTGATATCACTGACAGCTGCTTCTTCGATAAAATGGAACTCGTAAATTTACTTACCTTGTCATTGGTCATTTGCAAAATTATTTTGTTAAAAACATTCTGATTGTACACACAGGTACTCTAAAGTTGACATCAAAAAGATGCTTGAATTTCTGATTGACATCTATGTCGTTTCCAACAATCTATTGGAAACAATCAATTGGAATTCCCATGGGCACCAGTTGGGACCGTTATTAGCAGACCTATTTTTGTATTCATACGAAGCAGAATTTGTGCAAATTTTTTGCTTAAAAAAAGAATACACTTGCTGTGGTCTTCAACTTGACATTTAAATATTTTAATCATCGGATACAATTTTTAAAGCTGCATGGGGAAAGCATTTAATACAGAAAAAATACCTGACGTGATCGACAACAAATTCAAATGTTTTTAAAATGCTGGGGACTGTAGCTCTCTGCTTTATCCGTCTGAATTTTCTCAAGCAGAAAGCTACAGTTCTGCAGCAATGATTGATGGTACGTCTTCGATACATCAAAAAGTTCTAGTTGAAGGGCACAACAAGTTATTTCTTCTCATGTACAAGATTTAAGAAAAATCCATATCAATACATGTACAAAATTAGGTCTGCCTATTACAAGCCAAGGCGGAATTGGTACCTTGGAAATTACAATAGCTTTTTGGAAGACTTTATTTCCAAATCACATAGATATATTCAGAGTACTTGTGTCTACAACCAGAATGTTCTTAAAAACGAGTTTCATTTGCATTAAAAAAGCACTTGTCTCTGATGTCAAAAAGCCTTGTAATTTAATTCACTTGAAATCACTAATTTGCGTGGGGAATTAGTGACTCACGAATTTATGACCACCATAAAATGATAAATTTTATATGTATAACTAAACATTTTCCAACCACGAAATCAAATGTCCACAAACCAATATTTTTCCCCAAACCTCGAAAATTTGACACCGAGAAAATATGTGATTTACGGTATACTGTAAAATCACATATTTTCGTGGAGAGAAATTTTCGTGGTTGGAGTAAAAAAAACCTTGATTCGTGGGGATTTGATTTCTTAGATGAAGAATTGTTGAATAGTTATGTATGTAACATTTAACACTTCGTTGTGGACATGATTTCCTGGGTCTCTTTATACCACAAAAACAACGAAAAAAAAAACATGAAATTTTGTGATTTCACAGTACATCTATTTATAATTTTGCGGGAAAACGCACAAGAAAACTAAGCTTTTAATGCATTTTTGAAAAAAAAATGTTTCTTTCCAACCAAGAAATAATTAGTTATAACTTATTGAATTTATGAAAAATGACTATAAAGCTTTTAAATCCTTAGAGCTGAATTCCTCATATTAGTATCAATCCTTAATAACTTTAAAAGTTTTGTATTCTCTTACTAAATAGATTTGCCAGCTCATCTGAACATTTTTACATCACTTTCAACTAGTATATTCAAAATAGTGAATAATTTCTTGCTAAACAAGGTATAAAAATGGCAGAAGTCTTAAAACCTTTCTTAAAAGATTGTTATGAATATTCATATTCATATTTGTACCTCTGGGTGTTTTCGTGCCTGTGACGAAACAACGCATAGAAGAATCATTTCATATAGTTATATAAATTCCTTCGTAGAATCCCATTCTGCAGATTCTGACTAAATTGAAATAATGTTTCCATATATACAAGTTAGCGATACTAATATAGCATAACTTTTGCACGAGTTTCTACAATTGCAAAAATACACGTTTGGAAATCCAAAAAAAAAATGTCCCAAAATTATCTTTAACACGTATAACTTGTCATTTTTTCTTTCAAAAGGGACAATTATCTTTGGGGGGGGGGGGCTTTGTTGACAAGCTTATTTTTACATATGTGTGAATGCATTTAGGAAGAGAATATGCCTGTCCTATAATTAATTGTAATTAAGTATCTCCTGGTTAAAATGAATTTGAATTACTACATTACCTTAACAAATGAAATGTAAAAATGATGCTCTAAGACCAGTTAAAACATGTTAAACGTGACATCGGGAATTCTTATTTTGTATAAAGATTTTGGATTTCCAATCGCCTTTTTTTAAATCAAAAAGGCATGATGTACTTTTTTTCTGGAAATCAAAAAATAAAATAAAAGTACTTCTTAATATGTAAGGGCTTATCTTTATCTAATAAAATCCTGTGAGTCTTTTTTCCTTTTATTTATTGTGATATGAAAATATTCAAAATGCTTTCCTTGGGATCATACTGTATCAGTTGATATAACATTTTTAAAAATGATTAATTCAAAAGCAGGCCCTTAAGATGAAAAAAATCCTGTAAATTATTTTCTTTTTCGTATTTCGTTTATTCAGAATGCCATGCATATTTTAAGGCAGTTGTTTTAACAGATTTCTTAACGTATGAAAGAAATATCGGCGCACAAATGTACAGTTATAGCTCCTTACCATATTTATACGAAGCCTTTAATTTAAGTATAAATTTAAAAAATGTATTTAGACATGTATCTGTTCAAATAATTTTCTAAATTAATTGAGTTTGTCTTTAAAGGCATATCGATTGGATATATTTTGCACATTTCAAGAAAATTTTTAAGAGAAAAAAAATTATTTGTGAAAAAAAATCTGTCATAATTTGTTTTTCATTTACAATGAATGGGCATCCATCTTTTCTATGATAAACTGCAAAATTGTTAAGTTTACTCCAATCCTGTACAGGCAATCTTCAAACACAACGTAAGCGTGATCAATTCAGCTGTAAATTTAATTTTTCATACTTTATAGGAAAACAATTATGATGTCACCTGCGAAAGCAGAAGTTTTTTCTGTAATAGCTATGACGTTCATTTCCTTACTAACAAATAAAGAAAGATATTGAATTGATTATATTCATACCAGCATCAAAAACATTCAAAGTAAAATCAAATCTGTTTAATACTATACTGTAGATGTATGCCATTGTATGCATATTAAATGGAACAGCTTTTGCTCAAGAAAACTAAGCAGATAGCTATAAAAGTGCCGTTTACTGACTTTTTAGTTGTGTAGATTCAGTTTGTCCCTTTCGATTTGTGATACGTGGTGTAAAAATGTGGTTTTAATCGAAGATCACATTTAACGTCAAGCAAGTGTAAACAAAAAAGCTATTTAAAAACTACTTGTTCTGCTGAAATCAAGAGTATGTAAGCCATGTATCAATATTCAAGCATCATTATGATGTGTTGAGTTTTAAAAGTTGGTCTAAATCATAACCATTTGAGGTTAGTTATAACCATTTGAAGCGCCTGCATGAGGCAACATTATGGAGTCAAAAAAATTCAATGGTAAAGAGGTTTTTTTAAATGCTTCTGAAGATAACAGGTTAATAAACTGAAATTTTTTTCTAAACTGTTTTAGGAAACTCTACAACATGTAGTTTATGTAATTATTCTGTTAGTGAGCACTGAATAGAGAATCAGAGAATCCCTCCCAATTATAAAGCAAAACTCTTAATTATAGATATCCCTCAAGCAATAAATCAAGAAATATCTTTCTTATTTAATACAATTAAATATAATTTTACGTTCGGTTAAAGGACTTGGCAAATATGTATTGGTATTTACATCAAGGGAAAAAACAACACATGGGATCGTTTTTCTGTTGTATTCGTTCCTTTACGAAAATGATGAACACGTGAGCGAAATAAAAAATATACATAAACAATTTACAATAAACGGCAAACAAATTTGTTTAAATGGGTTCTGATTTTCGTTATAAGACAACAACATAATTTGCACCGATTTTTACATCATATACAATAAACACATTGATATAATGTTTGTTTTATTTAAAGTAATTCAATTTTAAGATAAATACATTAGAGAGACACATACACTTTCACGGTATTGTAACTTCAAATTGAGACACGTCAGTATAAAACCTTGTTAAGCTCTCCTTGTCCAGATACCAACAAACCCCGTCACCGAATTCTTTAGTTATTGCTTTCAAAGAAACATTGTCTCCAATTGTCGGTTTCAAATCCAAGTACGAGACAAACTCACCAGACTCCATAACCATGGCAACAAGCTTGCCATTGTAATCTTGGAATATAGCTACAATAAAAATAAAAGTATATTAAATCATCTCTCTAAATGCGCTAAGCGCTTGGCACTTGAAGTCAAAGTTGCGGGTTCTTCGGATGCATATGGGACCTTAAAAACGAGGAGCCGAGTCAGGGCTGGCGTTGGCACGATAAAGATTCCTCACTGTTCAATGGCATTAAGTGTCGAGTAAAGATCGACATTTAAAGCTCTCTACGGTATTTACATGTTGACGTTTCTTAATGAGTGAAAAATTCTCGAATGGGACGTAAAACATCGTACAATCGATCAGTCTCCCTAAACATTAGTCGCCCGCGTGGCACAGTGGTTAGAGCGTCTGCTCTTAAGTCGTGGAGTAAGGAGTTGATCCATACGTCGAATCCCACTGTGGGACGTGGAGACCATTCCTTCGAATGAGACCGTATAAACCGAGGTTCCGTGTCGCAGTAGCGTGGCACGAAAAAGATCCCTCCCTGCTCAATGGCCCTAAATGCCAAGTATAGGACAAAATTTGCAGCTCTCCACTAGCAAGTGGTGGCGTCTCCATATGAGTGGAAAATTCTCGAGAGGGACGTTAAACAATATACAATCAATCCAAAATATCATTTTAAGAGAAAGGGAGCGACGTTGCATTTATCTCGAAATATTAAAATAAAGCGAGTCTGTTTCAAAAGCAAATTTTTAAACAAATATTCTCAGTACTTCTTCAAAAGTTTGATGCAAATTATGTCATATTATCATTTTCTCATAACATATTCCTAAGAAAAGAAGTTCACATAGAATACAAACGAGAAATTACATAAAATTCCTTCCAAGTCAGTCTTTGTTTCATTGAATTCTGAAAGAAACTGGAATCCAAGTGGTGTGTTTCTGACTGAAACTGTGGTGCCATCTATATCTGTCTGGTACACAGGGGTCTTGGAGATGTCTTCCGGATTGCTGTTAAAGGTCATGACCTTTTCATCCGTAACTGTTATATTATTTATCATCTCTGTCCCGAACAGACCACTTATTCGATAATCTGTAGACATAGAAATAAAATAATCTTTTTTATAATTTAAATGTATAAGAAATATTTCAAAACACATCTTATCTATGAAAATCGAATATTTGAAAGACGTTGTCATTAAACTGTCGTTAAAACCCCAAAACAGTTAAGAAATTTAAGTAGAATTTCTTGTACACTTGTAGTATGGAGTCCTTGAAAATGAAATGTTTTGAGTAAACGTATAAATCATGCTGCGACTTCTGAAAAATTATAATTATTGTACCTCTTCCAATTGATGTTGAATTAATTAAGTCGTACATTGAGTCAGTCGCCATTGGTAAATCAAAGCAAAGAGGTTTCCTCAGTCCAGGTATTATGATTCCAAAAGATGGTACCTGAGATTTCTCTGTAAATATCATAACAGAAATTATTATATTTTAAAAATTGATCGGGCATATTGTCTTTAAGTTCATTATACCATTAAACATACATTGAATTGCTGTAAGATTTATACCTAGTATCCTAGTTTTGGCTTTGGGTGGTGGTTGCGGTCCGGTGGTGGTTGCATCAGTGGTAACAGAGGGAGGAGTGGTTGGCTTTGTTGTAAAGGAAGCAAGAGAAGTTGGCTTTGTTGTAACAGAAAGAGGAGTGGTGGTTGTCTTTGTTGTAACATAAGGAGGAGAAGTGGTTGGCTTTGTTGTAACAGAAGAAGTGGAGGGAGTGGTAGTTTTCTGTGAAGCAGAAGCGGTGGTGGTGGTGGAAAACATCATGGTCACTGGAGGTAAAGTTGTGAAACTTGGAGCCGCTAGACCCTGATCAACTATAAAGTGTACATTATGATAAATTAGTCTCGTTTCCCCAAAAAAACAATTTGAATATATTTTCAAAATGGTATTTAGATAAATGATTTCTTTCTAAGGATTACGTTTTTATATATAACATATTAATGTTTAACACCTATATATTACATGGAAGTGGGTCGGCATCGACATGGACATTGGCACCGGAGTCCATGAAATCGAATGCATTGGATACAGGCGAATGAACTATTTTGTACATAAAAATATTAATATTTGAACAGTAAACAAATCTATATATTGATAAAACCACCCTCAAAAAGAATTTACCTTGAGAATTAAGGATGTACAACACACCTATCCCAAAAAATTCCTGTCGTTTAATTTTCGTTATTTTTGTGTATTTAGTACATGACTATATCTACTGCATGTATGCACATTTTGGACAAATTCGTTCGAGTGGTTTTTGGACAGGTTATTCCAAAAGTTACCCCCCTTTAGTTGTTTACAAGGAGAGAAAATTGTTAATCAATGAACTACTTAAACCTTGGTTTTCAAAAAAGCCAGGTTAGATATAAATGTCAAATTTCATTGGCTTATTCCTTTAACCATTTAGCACAAAACACAGTCATCTTTTTGATATACATATCATCAAAATAATTTTTAAAGACCTGAAACTGAAAAACTATGAATTATCTAAGCCTTGAAAATTGCGTATTTTTCAAATTCAAAATTTTTTTGTGAAAAAACCTGTCGTTTAATTTTGGTAAAAAACTTTCTTTAGGTAGCTGGTAGTAAAAATAATCTTCATAATTTTTTGTATAATTTTTGTACGACCAGTTTTGATTTAATAGCGGAAAATTACCCCCTCCCCCTTTCTCAATAAATCACGTTCCCGCGCAACTTTCAGACGGGGGTCGGTCACTTTGTTATATGAATCTACAAATACACATTAAAAAAATTAAATTGGAATATTGCTTTTGCTTCAAAAATATCTTAACTTACAAATTTAAAAGTTCTCATATGTAAAGCGTATTTAAATGTAGATTTTTAGGAAATTTTTGAATACCCCTATCACCCCCACCCCTTCCTTTTTTGCGTCGCAGACCATTAGCGCTTGACGAAACGTCGTTTACAGTGCGAATATACTGGTATTTCGTCATTTGAATCCCGGAGGTGTGCATTAGTTTTTAAATTTATGAATGCAGAATAAATATTGACTACTCTTTTTATATGTATCAGGAAAAAATTACTGAAGGATTTTAGTGTTTAGTCCATATAAGTATGCGTTATGCATTCCATATCACATGAAACCTGGATACGAATTCAAGTTTTGTTGAACTTGAATATGTTGATTTTTAATTTTATTTCTTTAATTTTAGTCATTAAAAAAATGATGTATGTTCAACTCTCCTGTGATATGAATGGAATAATTGTAGTTTTTTTCATGTCATTATTTCAAACGAGACAGTATGTGGCCGTGGGGATACATCGACATTTGCATAGATGTACACCCCTCATGATATTGTACGCATTTCTTTCAATGTCGTCGCTTCTAAAGTTAAAATGAAAATTCCGTATTCGTCCACATTAACTTCAAAATATCAAACATTAAACTCTTCATCTATTTCAATTTATATCAAATCGCACTTTGATATTTTTTAAAATCTAATAGGCTACGTTTTGTTTTGATTCGAGGAAATGCGAACCGACATTGTTGACAGAAAGTCAAACGATTTGCTGCAATAGGATATTCATAAATGCAGATAATTTCAGTACAAGTGAACAATTCTTTTCAATTCTATACTTACATTGTGTATATGAGGTCTATAGTATTCAATTCTCGGATTTATCAGGTCTTGCTGTAAATGTATCTGATTCTGTGGAAAACCGTGAATAAAGGGAGAAAAATAAACATCTCCTACATTTTCAGAGTTGTTCCTCTTTGATCAGTAAGCATCGATTTTACATTGTAAAAAGTTTTTTGTTTATTTATTGTTGTTTTATTTAATTAAAGAAGAAAAACAATATTTATATCGCAAATGCACAAATTGTAATGAAGACCATTAATCGGACTGTTATATAGCCAATTGTACATAATGAGAATTTCGGCAATGTAAAATAAAATTTTCAGAATAAAAAAAAAATGCTGCGCTTTGGTCAAAAATACAATTTACTGTATATGAAATGAAATGAAATAACATTAAGGGATGGTATTTTATGTCTTGCTTTTTACGGAGTTTAATCGGGTTAATTAAAAAATACTTATTGATTGAGTATGGTACGCACAATCACAGCCAAGCCCCATATCCTAATTTTCTTTCATGATTGATATATACATCGGGATCGTTACTCGTCGTTTTGACGCTTTATTTTTGACGTTAAATTTGACGTCACGTCAAACGTTCAATAGAAATCGCAAGAGTTATCTCCCCCAGTGTGTTGTACGTCTTTAAAATGAAAATATTTTCGATTTAGTAATGATTAAATAATGCCTCTACCCCACTGTATTGTGAACGGAGTAAACATTTATAGACCAGAACAACAAGGTCCATAACAATGTCCACAAACGGAACCTATCTGGCCATCAGCCATTGAACTTGTCTGACTGTCATAGTATGGTTTTTTTATTCGCTTGTTAAAATATACTTACAGCTTGGGGGATTGGCACCTAATAAAATAAAAACATTTCTATATGTTATTAAAATACTTTTATGTGCTCTTAAATACTGAAACTGATGAACAATTCGGTTCATGTGAACCTGAAGCACATTTGCAGCTCTGTTCTGCAGCATGTTAAATAATAAAGAGGGTGTGTGTGTGTATAGAGCATTTATTACAAATGCCAAATGAGATTACAGATTTTACAATATCAGAATGCAGCAGAAGGTGGGGCCCAAAAACATCCCACACCTTATACAAAAGAAAACTAGTACATATATTTTCTACAAAATTAACAATAAGTACCTTAAACAAAAGAAACTAGTACATCTATTTTCTACAATAACAAAAGTCATGCAATAACAATAGGCACCTTATATAAAAGAAACTAGTACATGTATTTTCTACAATAACAATAATTATGGAGGATTGAAGGGGTGGTGGTGGGTAAAATTTGTAAACCACATTTTGGAGCCGAAATGTTATTCTGATAAGGATAAGGCTAATAGCCGTTACTAGAGGACGCATAAGTATAAAACCCGGAAAACCCTTCGGGACCCATGATTTCAAACAAATTGGTAATTAATAAAAATATGCAATTTATTACGTATTTAGATCACATAAATTCCTTTATATACATAAAGACACTTAAGTAAATTAAATTTATCTTGGATCTCCTTTTTACACGGAAATCTACTTACAAGATCTGTATCACTTAATACAGTTCTATTTTGGTTTGGAGATGAATGGATGGATGCATGGTTTCAATGATCAATGACTAGTCCATACAATAAAATACCATTTGGAAGAATCATTTCATGGAAATTTTTAATACAACTATTTAAGATTATAGTTATAAATGTCACCCTCAAAATCTTTAACTTACCTCTTGCGCTTTGAAAATTAGAGAAATGGAGCCTTCCTCTCATTGCTGCTATTCCTGAACAAAATGAATTTATGAAAATATACATTATTTTTAACGAAATCGTTCTCTTGACTGAATTAAAGTCGTCAAGGTTAGAAGATAGAATACTATTAGAAATGAAATTATAAAATATGAACATGTTTACAATAAAATTGTCAATAAAATATGTTAAAACAAAACAATAATATAATATCAAGGTATTTATTTTTATTTTGAAAAGTGCAGATGAATTGATTACTTTTTAGCATTATTCTTTTGTAATAGAGCTGGAATGAATGTCTCGAGGGGTGTTGGAAGGGAGGGGGGGGGGGGGGCTTATTGACAAACGTCTCGACAAATTAGTTGATAAACTTACCTAACTATAGAATATACTTGAATGTTTTGGTTGATAGCGTTGAAGAAAAAAAGTTCAAAAACCAGGGTGAAAAATCTGATCTCCCTTAAAAAGACTGAAATTCCTTAAAACATTTATCGAACTCGAACGAAATGCAAACTAAGTTGTTTTGTAACAATTCAGCAAAGTTCAATCACCAAAAATCAGATTAATTTTATATTTCCAACCAGTTAGGATAAAAATGAAAAACAAATAGTTACAGACAGTGAGGCAGACAATCAGACAGATCGCCACATGGGAGATCTAACAGACAGACCAACAGACGGGGGAAATTCACTGTCTCATGTATTTTACCAGGAGGGACAAAAACTTTTTTAATAACTACAGGTATACCAAAAACTTTGATCCCACAATGAACTTTAGTATCATAATGCTTCTTGTTTTTAATTTAAAGGAAAAAAAACAACAACAAATTGACAACCAAGAAAACTGAGAGCTAAAATTGTCAATGATTACTTTTAAGATGGTTAGATGTTGCAAGTGTTCTGTGACACATACTGAGATTACTTGGTCTGGTTCTGTCTGTCCGTGTGACTGGAACGAGTTCTATTTGACACAGTTCTGAATCTTTCCCATAGAAATATAACACTTTTACCTTGCTGAGGAGAATCGGCAAACTCTGGTTCTGCTGGTTTCACTTCGCTGGGGTTTGCCTTTGTCTCATCAGGAAGTGTAACCACCATAGAAGTTAAAGGCGTCACGAACTGATACTATAAATAGATATTATATTACGAGACTTTCCTTTTGTAGTCTCTTAGATTTTGTAGGACATCTTAGTTATTTTATAGTATATGCAATTATAAGCAATTAATGTTTTAGTTGAAGACTCTGTTACCTGTAAATATGATGTTTAGCTTAATTCTTACTTTTAAAGAAAGTTGTACAATTTTGTCCTCTAATTTCTTAATTTCCGTCTGAGAATCAAGAGCTTCTTTCTCCTTCAGTAGTTGTTTTATAGTCAAATATGCCCAGAGTTTCTCCATCATACCAGGATTTCTAGTGGTAACTGGTGGCGAAGGCGTTGGAAATGGAAATGGTGGTTGGGGCCATGGTAAAATGGTGCACCACATTGGAGGCACGCGAAGAACCACTTCCTGGTTTTCACTTCCTGTTCCGTTTACAACCATACCTGACTGCAATTTGTCCAGGTCTTTTACTTTTCCTGCAACAACCATTTCCGAGCCTTTGAAGTAAGTGTTGAATTTAGTGTCGGTAACTGTACTATCGTACAATGTCCCATCAACATAATTAAATGAGACATTCTTCATTAAAACAGTGGAGATTTCCTTGTAAAACTCGGCTATTTGGAGAGCTGCATCCGCATCTTCATATATTTTCCTTGCAAATCCGTTGTTTTGTGCCGCAATTTTTTTAACGATGTTGAAGTCTGCCCCTCTTCCAAATGCAAGGCTAAAAATAGGCAGTTCGGCTTCATTCGCTTTTTTCACATTTTTGAGGATGTTGTCTGTGTTTGTTTCCCCTACTGTGGCCTCTCCGTCGGTAAGAAAAACCAATACAGGTGCACGACCGTCCTCTCCAGTTGCCTGCATTAATTTTGCCAAACCTTCCTGTAGTGAAAGATCTATGTTGGTGCCTGAAGGTTCAGAAGTGTAATTCCTTTCATATAACGTTTTTAAAAAGAACAACACGAAAAGTCTTAAAAGCATAACTGTTAATTTCTCTTAAGTCTCTATGGGCGGCGGAAAGGGTAAAAAAGACGTTAATGAAAAACTAACAACTAATTTTGTAAACATAACGAAATACAAAACAGACAACCTTAAAAACAAAATCAACAGACTCGTTTGCAAAATCAACAGACTCCGATGCGAAACCAACGATCACCAAGGCAAAACCAACGATTATTCACTGAATTGTCGCTAGATGGCGTGCAAAAAAACATATATTACCTGAATTAACGCTAGATGGCGCGCAAGTTTTTCTACGTAATCATTATTTTTGTACTTTCATAGAAACGTAAAATGGATCAGGGCCACAATTATAGAGTGAAGGTCAAAAGGCTGAAAGCAGCACATAAAGGAAATTCGCATGCCTCCCTTTCAATGATAAAAAATAAAAACATGCTCACATGTTTGTGAAACTTTCTGGGTATAGAATAAAAGTTTAATGTCAAAAGTTTACAATGATATGCATCAAGGTGCAATTCAAGCATAAATTATGCATAGAAATATGCATTGAAATGAGAGGTCATTTGACTTGTTTACACATTTTAAGCCAAGCGAGAGCTATTCGGAGGTCATGACATCAGAAGTTTATTAATAACCAGGGATGTCCACATTGACCCCTCTCCCCATTTTTATGTAAATATTTATCTGACACATTGCTCTGTCATATGTTAAAAATATTTTGGAAATGAATCTTTTTAAAAAAAGTTACAAAGAAAACAAAACATGTTTTTACTATATAAGTCTATATATGTACATGTAAGCAAATTGTAGTCCGGGTCCAAATCCCGCGAAATTGTCTATCAACATCCATTTTGCAAATCTCGCATAATAGAATCATGACGGACTTTTAAAATTCAAACATATCAGAGGCAGCAAGACAAGCGACTGTAAATATATTTCAAGAAACCAGTAGCAGATATTGTTTTTTTTCCCAAGAGAAAATTTTTGAAAGAAAAAAAATCCCCTAATACAGTCTTAAAAAATGTTCATATAAAATTATTCTATTATGTTCATGCATTACACAATTTGTTGATACATGAAAATTCACTTGGCAAGTTGTACTTTTATCATTTTTGCTTTTCTCTGTACGACTAAGTGAAGTCTATTAAATTTATTTTAGAATAAGTTAATTTAGGAAGCAGTCTCATTAAAATCAGATCCTTTGATCCGCTCACATAAATCGCTACTTGTTTAGCGATCTATGTGCGCGGATCGAAGGATCTGCGCACGTGAAAAAAATAGGGGCTGGATTGTTTTTATTGGGGTGGACCCCCCCCCCCCCCAAAAAAAAAGGATCTGCGCCTGTACAGATATGAATTATATAATACAGAAAAGATAAATGCTCTGAGGAACAGGATAATCAAGGTTGGTACTTTTTGCACAAGGGAGATGATGATATTTTTTGGAGGGAGGGGGGGGGGGGGGGGGGGAGGTATCGATATCAATAACTTATGAAGTTTCAGTTAAAGTCTCACAAGATTTTGGTAACTTGCTGATTAAACATGAATTAAAATGATTGATAATAAATCTGGAAAACATATTCGAAAAGATAGTTTTAATTTTATTCAAAAGTTTACTATGCGTTTCTTTTTTCCTTTCAGTATAGTTGAAACCGTAAAAGAAATTCAGGGGCGGATCGATCCAGCAATTTTCGAAAGTTCGGTGCCCCAGTACTCATGCATAGAATCACAACACGACCACTTGAAGTCCGTAACTACATATGTTTATAAGAAAGGGGGGCTCCAAAAACAGTTGACAAGCAAAAAACAAAAAAAAAACAAAAACAAAAACAAAACAAAAAAAACAAAAACAAAATAATCTTTGCACCACCCTCTAAAGTCCTTCTTTGGGGGTAGAGGGGGCTTTCTGTAACTTTTCTCTTCGGACTGCATTATATACTTTCACTTAATGCTTGAATCTTCGTATTTTCCGGCAATAAAAACTGTGGAGGGAGCTTCCAAATCAAAATATTAATTAAAACTTCATTTAATGCTTGAATCTTCGTATTTTCCGGCAATTAAAACTGTGGAGGGAGCTTCCAAATCAAAATATTAATTAAAACTACAGCAAAAGATTATTCTCAGAAAAAATGAATCCCCTCCATCTGCATTTTTTTTTTTTTTGCATGTTACTTGTGAGTGGTCGGAACTCTTAGCCGGGGTTGGGAAGGTACACGGAGGAAGGTATGCGAAAATCTACAGATCTATGGAGCACAGCGAACAAAGATTTCTCATTAATTCAAAATATTAGACTTATTCTATATTACAGAAATTTTCCTCTCTATGTACAAAAATAAAAGGGGGTTCCAACCACCGGACCCCCGCCCCCTCTGGATCCGCCAATGAAATTTACACTGTAGGGCTACAAGGATGAGACTTAATTGTACTCCTGTACAAGGTGTGGTGGGATCTTTAATTTGCCATGGTATGCGCAGTAGACCTTGTCCCATGTCCATTTTGCCTAATTTCTCCGAGTCCGAAAACAGTATCCCCAAAACCTGGAGTAATCGCTGTCCTACATTCCTTCACCTTATTTTTAAGCAAAAAAAAAAAAAAAAAAAGATATGGATACACTCATCTAGCCTTAATTTCTTTTCTTTATAAATATTTTAAAGTACTCAAGTCATTCCCTAAAATATACACAGGGTCAATCTAATAGATAAACCAATTGGATCCTGATGAATATATAATTTCGCATGATTAACGTTCCTATGAAAGTACAAAAATAATGATTACATAGAAAAACTTGCGCGCCATCTAGCGTTAATTCAGGTAATATATGTTTTTTTGCACGCCATCTAGCGACAATTCAGTGAATAATCGTTGGTTTTGCATTGGTGATCGTTGATTTCGCATCGGAGTCTGTTGATTTTGCAAACGAGTCTGTTGATTTTGTTTTTAAGGTTGTCTGTTTTGTATTTCATTATGTTTATAAAATTAGTTGTTAGTTTTGCATAAACGTCTTTTTTACCCTTTCCGCCGCCCATAAGTCTCTGTATAAGTGAGAAATTATCTAATGGGACGTTGACCAATATACAATCAATCAATAACAGAAGCAAGTCACTAGACATTACATTTATAAAAGATTTCACTTGAAACAAATTATAAAGATTTTGTAATGACTTACCTCCACCGGCAAAAGTTTGTCTTATATAATCCTTTGCCTCAGTTATGTTTCCAGTCGTTGCCTGAACAAATTCGGATTTCCAGTACAGCAAAGAAGAGTCAAATGCGATGATCATGATTCTGTCTTCTACCTTGACGTCATCTAAGATCTTCAGCATGGATTCTTGAAGCTGTCTCATCTTTGTCCCACCCATGGAACCACTTTTATCCAGCACAAACACAATATCCATTGGCATCGGTTCTATTCCCTCAGGTGCCAGGAAATGCACAAAATAACCATCCATTACCTAATGCCATGAAAAAGATTCATGTAAATTTGTTATTACTTGTATTTTCATACCGAATTAAAACGTAGTCATCTACTCCATTAGGCAATTCCTTTTACATTCGTTTATTCATATACAGCTCACTCCTCCATGGCACCTGATCCCACCTGCCTGATGTTTTGGAGGTCCGTGTTTGCTCTTTTCCAGAATACATGTCCATGTATTTAGTATTGTTTTATGGACCTTTGATCTTGAATAGTGTTCGTTATCTCCATATGCTTCATGTATAGGATTGAATGTGTCCAAGACTTATTTTTGAAAATATCAGAGAACATTATTAATGTGCCTTTTTATTGTGCATTGTGCATTCCTAAGGAACAATCACACTGAAGAAACACATCAATATACTTTTTTGAAAATTTGTAATTTACCAGTATATCCCCTGCATTGTCACTTCTGTCCACGTCGTACTGGACAATAAACTGACCAGAGATTCCAGACTCTTGTTCCGCTCTGGACGGCTGATATGAAATAAACACCTTCGTTGAATTGATGCGATCAACTACCGCAACTTCATTTGTACCTAAAACGAAAAAGCAAAATGTGTGACTGCAAAAGTGAAAGTTGCAAAATCTATATAACTATACGACATCAATCACTATTGGACTTATTTCTTGCTCTTATCTATTCATAACTACGCCTTTTGACAAAGAGACAACCATTAATTTTTTTTTTAAATATGTGGATCATGCAGATGTGTGATGAAATGCGGTTTTGAAGTTATAACCCCAGATTGTTTGCTTAAATGGATACGATACATCATCGGTGAAAGAAAATCTAAATGTTTTACCTTCTGGGCCTTCCGTAAGAAGGTCATTTCTTACTGGCGGGGTTTTGATGGTTGTGATATTCCTTGATTCCTTGATCAAGACGTTGATTTTTAAATCGTCCACCACTTGTCCAGGATTGATGTAAATAACATGGTTGTATAAGCCTTTAGTTCGCCTGAGAAGTTCCCGGTATGTTAGTTCGAACGTCACTTTCTCTTGGGCCGCCACGTTGACTTGAATTTGAAACTTGTTTGTTTCTCTGGGTCTGTGGAATTGAATTTATTCAAAATGTTCATTCTATTGAGAATATAACGTATGCAAGCAGTTTGAAAGACATGGTTATGGATATGGATGTAAAAAATCATAAATACATGATTGTTCAGTTGATTGTCAATCTGACCAGTTATTCGTATTGCTCAATTTATGTGATAATTAATTTTATTTAAGAAACGTGCGACATTCAGAGATGAAGTGCAATAATTATTCTTACTTGGCTACAATATGACCTGCACTCTGTCCCTTTGCTTTGGCAGCCTCAAATTCCTGTTTAGCCTTCTCTTTTTCTTTTACTTTTCCAATAATTTCTGACCCATTTATTGTCCTTGAATAATAAATTATTAATGTTCGTAGTTTAGTTTCTTTATAATCGTATTTCACAGTAAAACTAGTGAGTATTTATTTTTACATTTTAACTGTTTTATTGATTTACAATTCAAATTTTTAGACTGTAAATTGTTATACATTTTGAATGTCAATTTACATTTTGAATGCAGTGATGAAAGCCTCGTTTGGAAGTGTAAGATCGAACACGGCCTCACTGGCAACTGGTTCCTTGTTCACAACTTTACTGGTTACCACGGTCTTTGCAAACCGGAAGTCGATTTCTGACGTCACATGAAGGTAATATATCTAAACATTGAATATTCATAAAAGGTTGAAAGTATAGGTTTACAATAATTTTTTTATCTTTGGTTTGAAAATGCCTGCTTGTAGAGAAATCCATTTTTAAATTAAATTAAGTTTTTTCCATATTTCGTAGGACAGCATTTAGTTTTACGTGTGATAGTTTGACACATGGATGCTAAATGCGTGACGTTGGATTGGCCTTTTGTATTAATTTCTGTATTTTTCTTAACTGTTATTTACAACAAAAAAATCAATTCGATTCACAAGACATTATGAAAGGATATTTTTAACGAAAGAGGTTTTTGGTAGATTGTACTGTTACTGCATTGTATAATTAAAATATTGTCGGTACGCAATGAGAAAATAAGCTTTATGTAAATATTCAGTAGTAAGAAATTTGATGAAAGCGAAATTAAAACTACAGTGAAAATTATGAGATATTTTAAAAATGTCATATGAAGACGAAGTGAAAAGTGGTGATAAAAAATTTCAACTTCAAAATATTTCATGAAAAGCTTTCAATCCATAAATATTCAAGTGTCCTTTTTCTTCAAATGAATGTAAAAATAACCTAAAGAAGGTTGAGGATTTTTGTTGTTTTCAATAATTTAATTTTTATTTTTAAAAAATCTTGTTTTACTTGGCATTAAAATTTAAATCGAAGGAAATCAATAGAAAAATCCTACCTCTGGTTTTTTCGTTGTCTGAGACAAAGCAAATCCCAACAACAGTATTCCGAAAGGCACGGTCCTGTGAATTGCTCCCATCTTGCAAGAGTAAAACTGAAGTTCTGCAAAGCAAGTTCGATAATATCTACACAGAGATACTGCGCGTATTCGACTGTTTTTGTACAATAGGGACAGTTGGTTATGGAAAAACCCGCGGACAATATGGTGACGTTTCAATATATCATACAAAGTGATAATGTCATTTATTATTTTCGCTTAGGTAAGCTTGTTTACCATTTTTTTTTTCTTTTTTCAGAAATGCATACAGAACAGATTTTGTCTGAAAAGCATATAACGATTTTTTAAAAATTATTTTTCTTTGACTTTATAAGTATACCATGTTATGCCAAATAAAACTTTTTCTGGATTAAAAATTTTGAATTTCAATGTGACCTTGGTCATTTTGTTTATCAGTTAATTCCAATGTTTTTTTTTTCTTTTCAAGCATTGTGAACGCAAAAATGCTATTCATCACGCCCATCCTTGAAAGTGAATTAAGCGTAATGAAGTGAACTCTTGACTTATTCATGATAACTACAAATTAAACAATGATATTATGCAACGCTATTCAACACTTACAATTAAGAACCTTGCAGTTACAGGTAATTCCTTTCTGCCAACAGTTTATGATTAATTTATCCAATTTTGTTGTTAGTTTAGTGTATAAATACAGTTAAACTAGTATTGTAAGAATATATAATTTTTGTTCTTCTGTTGTAAAATAAATTCAATAAATAGTAGGTGTATTTTTCTAAAATAATGTGTTTGTCAGGTTTTTTTCTTTCTTTTCGCTAAATTTCTCCCGTCAATTATGAACATGTTTATGAAAAGGGTTTTATATTGTAGTTTCAGAAAAACAGAAAGGACTAAGTCTTCAATCACCAAAACTTCCCGATTTTGAAAAAAAAAAATAATCAAATACTAGTAATAGCTTTTCTAAAAAGGTTATAAAGACGTGTTCCTTATACGCCGCGGGTTCGAATCCTACAGCAAGACGTGGAGACCGGTCCTTCGGATGAGACCGTATATAAATTCCGAGTTAGTATGTCATACAGTGATGTGCATGTATGCTCATACTGGCGAAAAGAGAGTGCAAACACACAATATTTTTTTATCTCAAAAAAAAATTTAAAACTGGAATATTTTACAAAGGTAATTTCAGAAATTTGAAGGAAAATGCACATTTCAATCATATTATGTACAATTAAATCGTCATGCACTTTATTTTAAACGCCCCGGGGCTAAGCATGTGTTGCAGTGGTAATGATACGAATTAACAAATGTTGAAAACTTGATCGGCAATGATGAAAATAATTGCAGCTGTGATCATTTTCCTCTGTACAACTTATTAAATATGCACAGTAGCATTTCTTCCATTATATCATAAGTCGTGATTAATAAATAGATATATATTAACTTTTAGAAATCGGCATGATTTTTATGCATTACGCTAAAAAATCTTCTATTTTATTTCAGCTTAAGGTAGTTCTACACTCGGCACTAAATGGGCTCAATCTTAAAAAATCTGCTTTTGTAAGATAGACATACATCCCAGCAATGGATAGACGCTAGAAAAAATATATGTCAACATATTAATAGCCATTCTCTGTAACCACTTAAACTTCGTTGCCACGCATGGTCACCGATTTTGATGAAACTTCATCCATGCTTAGTACTTGACACCAGAAACAAATATCAAAAAAAATTTCGTTGCTATGTGTCTCGGTTGCTATGGCAACAGCCGGAAAAGTTTGAAAAATCGAGATTTTCAGCCATTTTAAATCTTGATTGTGGCTTAATAAAAACTAGAAAAAGCAAACAAACTATTCTCACAAAAACATGACACCTTGGTGTCACTTATACTGTAAAGAAACTGTTTTGAATATATCTCTAAGTAAGTGGTAACCAAGGGTACATTTGGAATACATTTAAAATGCTGAAATATGCTGAAAAACACTCCGTATTCACTAACGGTAGGTGTTACATGCTCAAACTCAATCAACAACTTAAGAAAAACAATGAAAATGTTTGAACTTAAGTATATAAGTATAAGCAATATTATTCTATAAATAACTTTTATGGTTGCCATGGTAACACAGTGTAACCATGCAAAACCAGTAACTAAGATTGGGTTAATGCTTCTGTCTTGAGGAAAAATATGAAAATTCAAGACTGGCAAATATTCATCCTTAGGACCTTGCATCACCAAAACCATAAGAAAAATTGGGTATAATTGCTATTTTGCAATGTTACTATGGAAACAAAGTACCAGTGCTTAAAAGTGAATTATTTTTCGCTGCATTAAGAATTAAATTGCCATATAATCAAGAAACAAATTAAAGGACTCAGCTTAAATGGTACTTATCTGTTAGAACTGAAGTTGAATATCATATATTGGTAAAATTTGATGAAGAAAACAACACTGTTGCTATGGTTACCAAGGAGGGAAAATGTTCGATTTTGTGAACTTTATATCAATATTAAACCCTGTGTGCCAACTTCTTGCATCCACTTAGAGATTGGATGATAGTCAAAATAAAAAGTCAGGTTAGCTGTTAATAAATATCAATCATAAAAGTTTTGGGAATCTACATTTAAGGGTACGTATCCAAGGAAAGAAAATATTTTTCAGGTTTTTAAGCATATATTTTCTGCTTATTTCCATAGCAACGCTCTATTTAAGAATCTAATCTGAATTTTTTCAAATGTGAAAACTAGGAGCACACCAACATCTTTAAAAATTGATCATTAGTTATGAGAAAATATGCTTTTTTAAAAGATAGGATCAGATTTAAACATACGGAGTGTTATTTTGAAGACTCTCTGTGGTATAAAAACCTTGGCAACCATTGCCAACCAAAATGAAATATCATATTTTGTTCTTGGTATATGTTTCAAGTCTCTTTTTTCTATTATTTGGTCACATTTCATCCTATAATTGCTTTTTATTTTTACGGTATGACTTTATAAAATTCAATGAATATTTTTTTCACGTTTGAATACTTTGTTACCATAGTAACGTATGTAATAGTTGATTTACCAAACATGTTTATCATGCATTTGAGACATCTGACCTTTAACTTTTGGAAACAGTCATTGCCAATTGTTTGCTTTGCCGCAAATGTTAACTATGGGGCTCTAAACATGTTAAAAAATACCATTTTTCGAACTTTAAGACATGTTGCCATGGTAACTATAAAGCATAGCAACCAATTTTTGCCTGATTTCAGTTTAGGGTATCGATGACTTTTATCATAGAGAGTTTGGAGAAATTCTGAGACTATGCGTGCCACAGCTCCTATATAAAATTTCAAATCATTACAGAGAATGGCTCTTAACTTTTCCGTTATTGCCTATCGGAGTATATACCCCGAAATGTAAAATATTGAAAATTTACGTATCCTAGATATTGTTGTATATAAATGAATTAAAGTCTAAATATTCAACTTTAATACCCAAAATAAAGTAGAAAAATGTTAGTAAACAATATAATCATTGTTTTGCATGAATTATTATAAATAGATGCACTTTGTTAGGCTAACGTATCAAAATTTAATATGAGAAAATATACTTCACAGTTTAATCTCGGCCTTTAAAAAAAATTATGGAGTCAAACTTCGTAAATTTGCATTATATTTACTAAATAATATTTAAGAAAAAGAATAAGCTTAAAAAAATTATATGTTGATGCATCACTTTTCGTGGTATGAGCTCTACACTAAAGGTACCCCCATAATTACTTCTTCCAGAAGTACATGTAATATATTGCCACATTTTCCTGTAATACTGTTAATGTTTGAGTGTATATTTGTATTAACAAAGTTGTACATATTTAAAACAATAATTATACACACCCAATACCTATTGTCCCTAAAATTTATCTTATTTTACGCTTTAAAAAAATTAAAACACACTTGTCTGTAAATTGCATGGAGACAATGAAAATGAAAGTTATTGACTGATTCTAACAAACTTGATAATTTTGTTACAGAAAGTGAGTATGCTGCAAGTGAATCAACTTTTGTCATATACTTATATTCAAAAGATAATTTTTGCATTGTGATTCCTGGGTAAGCAGGTTGGGGGGGGGGGGGGGGGTAGTTATGCGTTTTATACAATAATTATTATTCAAAGTAAATTTAATTTTGTAATGTTTAATTAGTAAAATTCATAAATTGTCTGAGTCAAATCGTAGTCATTACATTTCTTCCGAATTAGGCCTATCACTAGTAACTTTAACTTGGCCGCCGACAATAGTCGCCTCGACTTCGACAGTTTGAAACATGTTCTGATATAGCATGTTCGTGGTCCGTGTCATCGGCACGGCATATAACACATGCATCATTCACAGAAATATCATTTTCTTACCTAAATATTTCTGTCAACCGAAAGTTGTTCCCAGCCTTCTCTTTTTAATCAATCAAACTGTAGAATCAGTGTTTGTACGTTTGTTGACGCGAGCGACTTGGAACAAAATCGTTACCGGATATTTAAAACGCTAAGTAAAAGTCAAACCAATATAGTTCAAAAATCACATCTCGGAAAAAAGAAGCGTGGTTCCGGTTTTACTATTCGTAAATGACGTAGTGCGAGTGTAGACCTACTTTAAAAGAACTGTTTTTAATTGTTCACAATTCAGAACTTCTTCACCCACGAAATTAACTTCCCATGAACCAATTCCTTTTCTAGCACAACGAAAATTTGTAATTTTACATTAAGGTAGGAGTCTTCTCTGGTTTCTGAGTAGATGAAATATTCAATGTATATTTGCTTATATTTCTTATACATATGTATATTTAGGTGGAAGAGATTTAAAAGACCATATTTTTCTTTCCTCATCACAATTGTACAACTTTAAATAGAAATTGTAAATTGTGTTCGAAAACTAGCAGGGACTATATTTTTGGCGGAATGGTGGCGTACGAAAATGTCTTCCTTTCTGCTTCTCAAAATTATTATAGAACAAAGAATTTAGTTATAATTTTTACACAATTAAAGACTGGAAGAATTTTTCAAATGTTAGCTAAATCGATAATAAGGAACTTAAGTTTTAAAATATATCAAACAAATATGAATTTCTAAACAAACTACAATTATGTTAGTTTTTTATTTCTTTCAATCTCAGTACAGATATGAGCCAAAAATCCATAAAAAGTGTTTTACTCTCTTACTAAACGGTCAAAACCTTTCGTTTTTATATCAATTTGTTTCTCTATATGACTTCTTTACCATATGTGAAAATAAGAAAAATTTAAATATATCGTGCATCTAAAAAGAAAAAAACTTATATTCCTAAAAATTTAAGAAAAATAGAGAAAATTCGGATTAGCAAAAATCCATTTTTGTTAAACAATTTGTGTCAATTTGGTAATATCATCTTGTAGACCCTATATGGTAATATCCTTTTATGAAAAAGAAAAACATTTAATCTTTTGAAATAGAAGACCCTATCTCATGATTGGATGCCGTTTTTTGTATTCTTAATGACTAGGGAAAAGGTAATGACCTTGACCTGACCTTGGCTCTAATATAAAACGGTCAATACTAATCGAACTGATACCATCACTTAGTAATATTGTCTTTTTGATTCTGTGAAAATTTCATTAATTTATAAATACAAGAGATACAGTTTTGTGTGAGAAGAATCCTTTCTTAAACATGGTTTAATTATAATATCGTATTTTTGGCTAATTTTCTTATTGTTTTAAATTTATAAATGGGGGATATATTTCTTGGCATGAATATAAAAATCGAGAAAAAAGAAGGTTTTCCGTCTATTTCAACAAAGTACAAGATTTATGTTCCTAAATAAGGTTTTTAATAGAAAAGGAAGAGACAAATTATTTTAGAATTGCCCTTGATTCGCTTGGAAAACACTTTGTTAAAAATATTTGTGATTTTCCGTTCAAGAAAATTATTTGTGACCTTTCCTAATACAAGATCAAATAAAGAGTGCTAGTGTTCTAAAAGCAGTTAATAAATTAGAATTAAATGATTTATAATCTAATTTGGATTATTTCACATATAGGTCATCACTACGGTTAATCCAAGATTCCTCTGACTCTAACCCCTGCTTTTACATTGTGACTTGTGCAGGGAAGAGTTAGAGCGGAGACCATATTGAAAAGTGGGAATTCAGCGACACCAGCTGTTGTCGCAACTCTGCCTACCTTTTACACCTTTATTTCGCGGAGCTCACTCCCGAGACCGAGAAATCAGTAAAGGGGTAATTTTTCTACAACTTTTAAATCGTCATTAAAAGGATGCTACCCCATTTAAACGGACCTATTACCGACAAATGAAGCATCACTTGAATTAGGTCGCCTTTTCGCCTTTCGACTTCTTTGCGCATGACGTCAGCACACAAATTCCCACTTTTCAATATGGCCTCCGCTCTGACTCTCCCGCGCACAAGTCACGATGTAAAAGCAGGGGTTAGAGTCAGAGGAATCTTGGATTACACTACGGTTAACCGTCAGTACTAGAGAATTTATAAAAATACATCACTCTGGAACACACTCAAAGTATATTTCCAAGTCAGTTAATTAAAAAGGAGTTAATATGAATTGTTTTAAGTGTGTCAAAGACCAGACCGTTTGATTTAACTCAACTAGTCTTATTAGAAATCAAAGAATTTTACTTGATCTAGATCCAATGAAAACTTAAATTGTAATCTTTTATAATTTATTTTTTCACCAACACCAAAGGGAGCCATATGGCTGGTAATACATAGTCAAACTTGACAGCTTTTAACGAATAGCACATAAACTCTGTACATTTAAGTCAGAAATCTCATTAATTCACATAATAATCTCCACGAACAGAGCAGCTAATTAGAACATACCCATGGTGTTTTTTTCTGACCAATTCTTTCTGTTTTGCATTGCAATTATTGTGCAACTTTTTGTTTTTCACTGTGATTGTTCAATGTTTTCTGTAATCTTCAAAATGTACCCGTCATTTTGATAATCAATAGAATTACTGATTACTGAAAATCATTACTGCAAATATTACTGTCGTCAGAATAACAGTCAAAATATAACTAACAAAAAGGAATCGGTCAAGAATTTTGGAAAAGTCTTCATGTGTCATTGAGGTTTGTAACTCTTTATCGTCATCTTCAAATCCTACGACCGATTTCCCGATCTTTGGCGGAAGTTTATTCGGTTCTCCTATTGCCGTCACCGAATCAGAGTTTCCCTTTTTACAACAACTTCCGGCACAGGACACCATAGCCATGAAGCGACCAATCCGAGCCAAGCATGCAGAAACGTTCTCGTCGCCCTTGTGGCGGGTGGCAATAACAAGGATAACGAATACAACGGAAAGGACACCCAATGCAAGAACGATAACCAGGTACACAGCTAAAACGAAATATAATAATCAATAAAGGTACGTTAGAAATACATGCATGACTTATTTCCTGAAGGGTAAACACAACAATAGAAAATTGTAATATGAAAAGGAAAACAAACTTCAACTTATTAGAATTTTTTCATGATTTCAAATTTTATCACTCTTTATTATAGAGTTAAATTTTCTTTATTACTTGCAAAAAGCATCATGTTTAGCGATCATAGCGAGCTCTCTAGACTCAATAACGTGAAAAAACAGAGGAAACTCGAACTGAAATTATCATTGCGTTAATGACAGACTGGAATATGTTTTTTAAATATTTTTTATTTAAAAAAAGGGTTGTCATTTTTGCTTATTTGATAAATTCATTGTGAAAAATGTGTATTGATCATACTACAATCTATTAAATGAAATTATTAAAATATTTTTTTTTTAATATTTTAATAAATGAAGTTAAATTCTTACTAAGGTAGCACACGGAGACAGAAGTGCTCGGAATATTGTCCGAAATCAGGGTCAAATAAACAGCATAAGCCAGCAGTACTGTCAGAGAGTATCCGATCTTCTCTCCGGAGTCCACCGGGAGTTTAAATACCATTGGAATAAGGAACGCCATTAGCGCCACTGGAACCATAGTGTTGAGAGCATGGAACATAGGTCTTCTCTTTAACGTAACGCTGAATGTGAGACTCGAAAACGTTTGTCCTCCACGAGACATTTCACGAGATTTTTCTCCCGCTGCATCTGTGAGCAACCATTCTCCATTTTCACTGTAAAAACTCATGTCAACTGCTGGTATGTCAAATTCAAGACTTATCTCGTTGCTTGTGTATCCCCACGTGCTTACTTTGATTGTACATGTCTGTTCGTCAAGAGGGTAGTAGGTTATGTCGCAGCTACAGGCCACAAGATATATTCCCGCCGGATTCCAAGTGATGTATCCATTGCTCATGATCCTCATTGGGATGTTCTTATCGCTGATCACAGAAATGTCTTGGACTCTACAAAAAAACCCAACCTTGAAGAAATATATTTTTAATTCATACTTTCACATTATATTTTTTTCACATAAAGAGAAAATAAATAAAAATTGCGCTAATCTGGGTTTCATTTTGTTCAGTCACTGCGCATCAGTGGTGTTTTTTTATTTCATTTGGAACAATAAAATCAAATAATCATGATGATGAATGTGGCAATTAGTCTTCTTATTAATTTATTTGATTCTATCTTCATTTCCAAGATATCGGTCCATTGGGTGCAAAGGCAAACCCACTAATAACAAACATATTACAGAAGAATATTTAAACAGGATAAATGGACCAGACGGGCACAGGAAACATTCACCTGGATATAGAGATGAAGAGAGATGTAAGTACTGTAGATCACTTAATTTTCGCGACACCTTATTTTCGCGAGATAGTCATTGACTCTTGATAAGCGAGACAAAATTTTCGCAAATTTTGGTTATTGCTGTATGTATTCTTATGGAATTCTATTTTACGCGAGAATTAAATTTTCGCGAGCACACTGTCTCGCGTAATTATGAGTAAATAAACAGTGATTTACAGTAGTTAGAAACCAACAAAGATGCGCAGTGACTAATCCTTACACACACACCCTTCTAATTTTGAGAGTGTTCCTAGCTACATTTTGAAAACAAACAATGAAGAATGGTCTCGACTGAGAACATCGGCAGGATTTGGAGATAAACTACCAAACAAAGTATGTATGAAACTTGCAAATTGAAAATACATGTACAAGTATTTTCTGACAACCAAAACATATGAGAACTCAAGGAGAAAAATAGTTTTTAGAGAAGATTGAGACAAGGCTGTGAAGGACTGTCTCACCCAACACACAGTCTTTGTGAGGTGGCTCCAGTCAAGTCAAAAACACAGGATAAAGAAAATCAATTTTGGGTTCATTCGAGAGAGTGACGATGAAAAACCCAGCAAGCAGGATAGAGGGGTAACGATTAGGCTAGTACAATTAACGTTCACTTAAACAATGGCAGAAACTAAAAATTATAGTGGGAAGGTGTTTAAGAAATTGAAAAGTTAAAAGATATTTCAGAGAAGATTTAAATGTGATCTGGGGAGCAACAAATGGAACGCACTGTAGCAGGTAACACTCATTAGACTATGGTAGACCACATTCAGGATGAACACCACAGTTTTAAGGGCGTCACATACATTGATACTGAAGAGCCAGTAACGTTAAACGACAACAGGAAAAAAGAATACAGTTACTCTCAACTGATAATCTTTGATGACCACCTTTGCAAGATATGAAATATTCTATAAAAACTGGACACGAACAAATAAGTTTTTTTAGTGTCAAAAGAAATTTGCACTGTTGAACAAGAGGGGTTCGGATTTAATGACAACCCATAGAAAAAAAGACGCCCAGAACACCATCAAACCTTATATACTGGTGGCAGCAAAAATTGCAGACACTAGACATGGGAGATAATATAGAACTGCAAGCAGGGCATTAGATAAAATCAATACTTGGATAGTAATAAACAACCTCTAACGTGCAAAAAATTAGAAAAGGCAGAAATGAAAGGGAAAAATCAGACAGCAATGACTTTAACTGACGACCAAAACACGTTTACCAAAAAATAGTGAATGTGACATGGGCAGGCAAAGAAAAAAAGCACTAACTAAGAATAAAGTAGAACAAAATCTGACAGAAGGACAGTGATGTGATAGCCATAAGGAGTGTTTGGGAAGGCTAAAGAATAGAGTCTTTCAGAGACAATGTAGTTATGAAAACACAATTGTTATTGAAGAAGTAATAAATGTAGCATCAGCACCTGGACAAAACGGGATTCAATGCAAAGCCGACATGATGTGTTCAACAATTCTAAAACATCTGTGGATATGTTTTAGATGTTCAATGGGGGAGGAATATGATATCTTCCTGGCAGAAAGTGGAGATAAATTTTGTTGTAAAAGAAGAAAAAATAGAAAAAATCAGTTTCGGACAAATGTGGAAGGAAAGATCTTTTATACAATGTTTCAAAAGATGACAAAATTACATGGGCACTAATATGTACAAAAAGTCTGAATTCCAAGATTTTCAGAATGTATCAAGAAAACTTGAATCTATAGTTGTATTTTGGAACTTACGAGTTCTCTATTATGATAGCTGGGCGCCAGACGTAAGTCTCGGTACTGAACAGAAATCTGATATTAGTGTAGTCCTGTGTTGTGGCTGAGGTATTGTCCCAGGAAAGTCTTTCATCAAACCAACTCTAGAAAAAATCGTCAATAACTGTTACGAAGAAAGTGTAAAGTATCTTTAAATTATAAGTATCATAATTAATACCAATTAAATAACAAAACAATTTCTATATAGCTAGTCTTTCAAAAGAAAACTTCATTTTAAATCATTAGTCTATTGTTATAACCTTTTTTTCTTATGACTTTCACAAAAAAGTGACAAAGCATGCCTTAAGTTTCTTATCATTCAAGTTCCCTTCCTTAAAAAAAATGTAATTTTTCGGATAATTTCGGATGTGATACTTTCAGGCATTCTTTATTTGACGACACTTGAAGGCATCGGAATAATCTTTTTGTTACAATTGTTTTTAATTTCTGAAAATATGAATTATTTATAATTTATTTGTTTTCAGAAAACTTGTTTCTCGAATAGACTAGCGGATACTTGATGTATGTTCTTCAGTAAAGACTGCATGTGTTGGTTACTTTTCGTCAGATTTCTTAAATAAACTTTTCCAGCCTATTCATCAATTAATGTTTATTTTTATATTTAGTTGAATGTTACTTGAAATTAAAAAGCTTTTGTTAAATACCTCTTTTATTTGGCACAGTATCAGAACGCAATATCTAACAACTTTTCACTTCTTATGTACTGTCGAATAAGATTTTATTCATGAGGATTTAAAATGCACATTTCAGATAAAAAAAAAAAACATGAGTTCAATTCATCCGTTCGCCATTTCATACTATTTTTTTTTTAAATCCACGTTTCATATTGTAATTTTTTCATCCCGTTCCCCCATGCAGATGTACCTCTTTCATTCATTCAAATCATTTGAATTAACACATACACGTTGTCATGATTAAAAGGACAATTCTCACCAGAGAAAGATATCCGGACACCGACATTACTTGGTTCTTGATGTCCTGTTGGGAGAAAAAGATAATTGAAAAAATAAACTTTTAACTATTACATAGAGAGTAAACATGAACGGTGTATGTTTATTCCATGAATAATACAGCGTCTGTATACTTTTTGAAATATTTACCAGGGACACAATCGTATTATTTGTATATACTGTTATTGAGACTGTTTATTAGATCCAGAGCCATTAACTCAATATAGAGGTTAATTTTAAACTGAAGTCGTTCCAAGGTGTCACGAAGTTATTCATAGAAAAATGTTGTTAAAATACTGTTTTGGAAGATCATTTTTTATAATGTGTAGAAATAACATTTTCATAGACTTAAAAAGGTTCAAGCCATGATGAAAATGGTCATCAATGATATTTTACCTGAATTATGCATGCTACTTCTAATAAATAATCATAACAGTACAAAATGTTTGTCTTCAAGACAGGCAGTTTTAAATGTTACATTAATTTTCTTATACAGTGTATCACCAGTTTAGTTTTACTTCTTCCAAGGGATCTGGTACCATAGGGCTCGAGTTTCAGAAAATTATTATATTAATGATTTTTAAAATCAATTCTACAATCATTTAGATGACCAAAATTATATGGAAATCTAGAGTTATTTCGATTGTAATTCTTTACATCTCGTGCCCAATGGTGATGGGAACATTTTTTTTTACATCTTCGTTCCTTCATGTAGATGCTATGTACATACATGTACCAAAGCTGGTTGAAAGTCTTTCTTACAATTATAGAAGAAGAAAATAACCAGAAGTCTCTGTCGAGACTGTAGCTCTACTGGTTTGTACTTATAATAAAGAAAGAGAATAGGAGCATTTGGGAATTAAAATTTTACAAAAGCAATAAATAGTATAATGATCCTTGATTAAGTCTCTTTTTGTGGCAAGATTGCACTAAGACTACAATGGTAGGAGTAGCTTTTAATAAAAATTTATAGGAATTTTCAATTTTAGTTACCATGGCAACATCAATCATCAAAATCAAAAACATAAAACTGATAATTATGTATCTCAGTGTAGTCTACTTGCATGAAAAATTATATTACAATCAGACAATAACTGTAGGAGGAGTAGCATTTTGAAAGTATTTCACAGAAAGTTCTATTATTAGTAACCACAGCAACACCGTTCATCGAAATCAGAAACTGATATACAGAATTATGTATCTTAGTGTAGTCCACTTGTGTGCCAGATTATACTGAAATGAGACCAAAACTGTAGGAGGAGTAGCATTTTGAAAGTATTTCACAGAAATTCTAATTTTAGTAACCAGGCAACACCGTTCATCCAAATTAAAAACCAAAACACAGAATTATGTATCTTAGTGTAGTCTAACTGTGTGCCAAGTTATATTGAAATCAGACTTAAACTGTAGGAGGAGTAGCATTTTGAATGTTTTTCACAGAAATTTCTATTTTTAGTAACCGCGGCAACAACGTTCATCGAAATCAAAAACCAATACACAGAATTATGTATCTTAGTGTAGTTTACTTGTGTGCCAAATTATACTGAAATAAGACCAAAACTGTAGGAGGAGTAGCATTTTGAAAAATTGTTAACAGACAGACAGACAGACGGACGGACGACGGAAGCATTACTATCGCATAAGCTCTTCTGGTCTCTGACCAGTAGAGCTAAAAATAGAGGCCAATTTTTCAACATGCGTAATTTAAATTTGTGTAATATTTTCATACATGATTTGAAAAGACGAAATTAAATAGTCATCCAGAATGGTGTATACTCTTACCAGATCATTGACGGTGAGTACAGTTAAGGAGACCTTGACACTCATCCTCTCCTGGGGTCTCTGTAGTTCAGAATAAGACCCGAGGGTGAACAGCTCATTACGTAGGGATGTTTCCAGGCTCCTGGAATACGACGGTTTGGTGCCCCCGGTTCCGCTGCCGGGCGCGCAGTGGACGGCATGGATAAAAGAAACACCTGAATAGATTGAAAAAAGTTTGATAGGTGAAAAAGATGTAGCCCATACCCAACGCTTACAAGTAACAGTCGGAAAGGGAAGTGGCGTCAACAATACGAGGGGTGATCAAAAAGTTCGCGATCTATCTCAATATTTACAAAACCACAATTCAGATCAGAATGAAATGTGGCACACATAGAGTTATACACATGTTCTATAAATAGCATATGTTTGTGACGTCACAATGTGAAAATGACGTCATAATGTTTATTATATACCCATCAATTTCCTTGTTTTTGTTACTGTTAATGTTACATAGTTTGATCCGATTTTTCGGATCACCACACTGTGGTTTTCTGAATCCATATCACCACTCTCTGAAATTGATGACGTAGTACGCAAAAACATGACGTTATTTTTCTTGCGCGTTAAAAAGTCCCTTGTTATTATGCTTTGTTTTATGGATAAATATTATACAATCGATCTCTAAAGTTTTATTCTGCTATATTTAGCTAGTTATAAGGGGGTATATAATAAATTTATCATTATAACAGTCCATATCACCACTCTCTGAAATTGATGATCAAGTTACTGTTATAATAATATATATATATATATCACTTGTGACAAAAAATGCTTGACTCAGTCGTATTCGAGAAACGAACAATTGTAATTTTAAACGTATATCTTGTAAATTCCTTTGCAGAAGTTTATAATAGTTTGTATACGGTTTATGAAGACAAAAGACTTTCCAGAAGTTTTATCATTATATTGGATTGATTGTTTAAGTGAAGGAAGGGAGATGTTTAAAAATTATAAAAAGCAAAATAGGAAAGAGACATGTCCTTTGTTAAGCAATTTGATATGAAAGATTGTCAACTTACAGTTTGAAAAATAGATAAATATCTTTATTATATACCTAACGTGTATCACTTAAAGCTGAACACTACTGGTAAATAGGCATAGTCCGCCATAAAGTTCGTATATAAGGAGCAGATCTAGTCAGTTCAATATATTTTGATAGTATATACAAAGCGTGCTACTCAATATCGATGAAATTATCAAATTTTACGCATTTTTCCGACACAGGTATATACATTATTTACAAACAGTAAATGCACATAAAAACAAGAAATAAACGCAAAAAATCTAAGACCACGATAGGAGTACTACATGTCGGCCACGAGTTTCGAGTGTGCAATCGGGTGTAACGAAATTGAACGGTTTATATACCCGTCTGACAGTGCCTATTTATGAGAAGTGTTCAGCTTTAATTTTACTGTAGAATCAACGCAATCACGTGACGTCGTGATCTGACTTTCCGGATCACCACACTGTGGTTTTCTGAATCCATATCACCACTCTCTGAAACTGATGACGTAGTACGCAAAAACATGACGTTATTTTTCTTGTGCGTTAAAAAGTCCCTTGTTATTATGCTTTGTTTTATGGATAAATGCTATACAATTGATCACTAAAGTTTTCTTTTGCTATATATTGCTAGTTATAAGGGGGTATATAATAAATTTATCATTATAACAGTAACTTGATCCAAAGGGTCGTATCACGCGACAGGCGCGGATCATCAGATCAAACTCGACGCTTCGCGTCTCGTTAGATCTGATGATCCGCGACCCGACCCTTCGGATCAAGTTACTGTTATAATAATATATATTTACAAAACTATAATTATTAAATCCCTTAAATATCGTTTACCTTAGACTTTAAGCATATCAAATATGATAAACTGAAGGCACCCATACTTTATCCACATGAAATTAAGGACGCTCAAAAGACAGAAGATTTGGGTTTTTATGGTCACCATGCTCATTCTGCAAAAGGATGTCATTATACACCCATACGATTGCCGAGATTAGGCCATTTCTGACAAACTGACTGTTTCTGTTGTAAAAAAAAAAATAATAAATTGCATGGTAAGAAATATAAGAGTCAGGAAAAAAAATTAGGCCTCTGTGACAGAACGCCAATAAGAATGTCACGTAACCGTCTATATCACGTGATCCACGCATGGGCAGAATGGTTGCAGATGCGAATTTCAATCGGAGAGGACTACTTTGAAAAATTTTCAACACTCAAATCCTTAATCACTTCTTTATTGGAATTAATTCAATTAGTTCGCGAACTTTTTGATCACCCCTCGTATATGCGTAAAATATCTACCGGGTATTATTAAAATTTAATTTCTACGTTTGAATAAGTATTAATGTATTTCATCTTCTGAATTTTTTTGATTTTGAACATAGGTTTATTTCTATCCATAAAAAAAATCTGCATGTTGGAGTTCCAGATATGGAATAATGAAAAGGAAATGATTTCTAGCTGAATTCAACTTTGAAAATAAATAGTGAAAATTGATGCTCTTAAAAGATTCTCTTAAAAGGTACATGTACTATAGTAATAAAATTATCCAATTCAATATATTCTTCTTAGATGATTATCTTTTATGCAAAGAAATTCTAGTTTGCTTCAATTTTTACTATTTTTTAGTAAATGCATCATATAAACTGATAATGCATACATGTAATATACATGATGCCATGTATACAATAAAAAAATCAATCTATTAAATGTCAAAATGTAAAATCTAAATCGTGATAAGGTTTTTATTCTATTTGGATAACGGCTTTCTTTAGTTAAAGACACAAACAGGGCGATTAGGTGATTCTCTGAAGCTGTTGAATATTTAAGTCAAACTGAAACAAGTGTATTGAACCTAAAGATTTAAACCCTTTCTTATCATAAAGCATTATTTGTCTTAAAGCTGCTTTTTAGAGACATTTATTGTGAAATAAGTCGTCAAATATTTGGAATTGGGATTGTTCATATACGTTTATTTCTAAAGAGGAAAATAAGAACAATTAAAGCAGACTATATGAAAAATATATGTTTATATTTCTACTTTCTTGAGGAAGTCTTGAATCAATTTTTCCCATCCAGCCATTGGAACAATGGTTTGAAATTTATATTTCTGAAAGAAAACGCATTCTAATGGATAAACGTATATGTCATTCAAGGTCCATTTTCAAAAATTAAAATTCTCACAATCTTTCTCAAATTATGTTTTAAGTTCTGAAGCACTGAACTCCGAAAATATTATTTCTAAGAAAGATGATCGAAACTAAGAATATGTTTTACATTAAAAAATGTATTTTTCAGTAGGAATTTTTTTGTCCATCTAGATATCTTTTGTAACGTACATGTAGCGAGTTTCATTTCATAAATTTTGATAAAAGGGATGGGTTGTGTAAAACCCGATATACATGTATCTAATTCAAAATAATATCAATGGAAAAAGCTGATACATTATAAGACTTTTACAATCAAAAAGATTTTTTTATTGTAATTTTGTTTTAAGGCGTACACATTATTCAGATGAAAACAGTAAGATGGCACAAGATATATATAATGATAAACAAATTACAAATAAACATAATTTGAGAGACTACAAGAAAACAATTTAAATATTAGTGAAATAAATGCATGATTCTTATTCCTTGAGAATTTGATGATTTAAAATCTCACGATTGAACTTCAAATATTCATGTGAGTCAAAATTAAAATACTTGAACATTCAGAAAATAAATATCTTGTAACACATGATCAATTTAAAATTTAATTTTAATTCTTTATACTTTATTCTAGTACATGTCTGTATTTTGTTTCAGAACTACGTCAGAAGATTTAATTGCACTGACTTTGTGAGACGTTCATTATCCGGCAAACTAGGATTTGTGTCTTCATACGTGGTCATGAACTCTTACACTCTTCACAGTGTAATATTCTTTTAAAATGTCAATTTAAAGTATGATTATTCTCTTATTAATATATTAAGCTGTAAATTGTAATATTTCTTTTGAAGTATTTTAAATCATTTTGGATTGAATTTATATCATTTTAATTGAAAAAAAAAATGATTTTTTTTTTAAAATACATGTATATTTATCATGTTTATTACCCTTTTTTAAAATGTATCTGATAATTATCTTTGAATTAGCAGTTCTGTCACTTTATGAGAAACAGAATCTGTGTCTATTCTTGTCAAGTGATTTTAAAACATCACGATTTTTACCCAAATAATTGTTGTCATTGTGTGAACATCAAACAAGACACAGAATAAGCTTCACGAATGTCCTTTCTTTTCAGCCAAAACAAAAACAATATATTGTACGAAAGATAATTTTAAATCAAAATAATTTGATTTTTTGTTCTTTGTGATTAACAATAGGCTAAATTGCTCAAAGTTTACTTTTTGATATGTGTTGACTTTAAATTCTTTCAATAAAGAACAAAACAGCCATATGAAAAGAAAACTTTCAATTTTTTCAAACATTATTTTATTGTAATTATAACTATGACTGTTAAAGTATTGGTGATGAATTTTACATATTATGTAGAATGCAAGTACTTTTCAAACGACAGAAATATATTTCTTCAATATAGATATTTTCAAAATCCTGTTATTAATAGATAACTGATTATATGTTAACCTCATTTTTTTCTCTTTTTCTAAATATATATATTATATGTACCTCATTTTTTGCACTTGTCTGTTTACCCATGTCCGTTTACCCATGTTTATTTGCCCTTGTATATATGCCCTTGTCTATTTACCCTTGACTGTTATTTTTCTTTGTACATATGTATATATTTATATATGTACCTTTTGTACCATTGATCTGGCTTTGAGTGAACAAGTTCTTACAAATTAAAGCACCATCCACTTAAAAATACAGGACAATAAACAATAGATAAATATTATAAAGTGTTTACATGCTACTATTTACTTAATACATGTATGTGCTTTAAAATAAACATGCTTATATACCAGAATGCTTTATTTATTTCAAAAATTTGTATATTTTTCATTTACACAAGGGAAAAGATCAAGTACATCAACATTAGTATATAGTTTTAAAAAAAATAACAACGTTCCTCAAATATCTTACTAAAATCAGTTCTTTTTCACAATTAAGTTTACATTTTTTATCATTTCATGTAACATATAAATGATTTATTATAATATCGACAAGTTTATGATTTCTTGTGATTTCTTTTTTTTTCCAAGTGGAAAATATAATTAAAGACTGTTTTAAAAACTGAAAACAATAAATTTTCGGAAAACTGTTTACCAAGGGTCTATCTAACGGAATTTTCCCCAAATAATATAATTACAACTGAATATTATTAGAAAAAAATATTCCAAATTCCAATGGAATTTCCTCGAAAAAACATTTTTTTTTAAAAAAAGCACCTACCTATACATAACTGAATAATCCACTTCATCATAAAACGTAAGTCCAATTCACTTTCTCAGATCCATGTTCTGCTTCCGTTGCAAAGAGTTTAAATGGAAAGATTATTTGAAGAAGTTCATATTTGTATTTGAACCTGTGTATTTAAACTATTGTCTCTTTTAAATACCTCACTCTATTGTTTGATTTCTTAATAATCTCGAACTTACTTATCTATCTATTTAAAATATTTCTCTGTTCATATACAGGTACCCGTGGATCTGTGTTGTCGCAATCTTCTATACTTTCTGAAAGCAACTTTTGAAAAGAAATATAAAATATCAATATTCTATTTTTAACACATGGTTTATGCTTAGAATCCTAATTACACTATGTCAACAGATTTTATTTTGTTATTAATCCGCTTACCAAAATCAGAAATTGAATAAATCAAAGTGTTATAATTAAAATGCAGTAGATTTTGTATTACGGTATGACATGTGTAAAGAAATGTACTCCAGCCCCGGGTTCATTAGTTTTCATGAATAAGATATCCTTCCACTACACAAGTTTTTTCTACACATGATAGATGCTCTCCGTTAATCTCAAATTAATTAAATGCTCGTATTTATTGCATTAAAATGCAAAATTAAGTCCATCAAGTCAGTAAATGAGATGTATCTAAAAGTTATCTGACCTACCTTGTTATTACAAGACGTGCCAATACATGAAAAGGTTATTTGTGCAGATAATTAGGTAAACCAAGTATAAATTAATGATGTTTTAGCTTAGACTTTATTTCGTTTAAATTAGACATCATATGTACACAGTAAATAAAAGATTCGGAAAAAAGTTGTTAAAAGGTAATATAATAATCCGTTTCCTTAAAATTAATTTCAACCATATATAAAAGAACATTTACACTTGTTGAATGGCAAGTGTAATAGGAAAAAACTGAACAATAAAGATGAAATAAAAGCAAAAAATGAACATTTTTTTAAAATAAATATATAGAGAGATGTCATTACATTAACATTAATATAACAATAACAATATAATACAATTAACAATATAACATTAATTAACATAACATTAATATTTAAATATATAAGATTTATGTTTTAACTGAGTCTTAAATGTTTCTTTTATTACATGCAGAAATACTATTCAAATTGCAATTTTATTACATGCTGAGTAGGTGGAAAATTTTCCCTATTATAACAGTTTTGTTACATTTTAATGTTATCGCTTTTACTTTAATAAACTAATCCAATTTTGTATGCGATGTTATTCGTAAGAGGCCCTTTGTTCATCATTAGAAATATTACCTTGGGAAATTACCCAGATGATGGTAAACTAACTTAATTTCCATTGCTAAAAATTGATTTGAAATCATCGAAGTTTTTGAAGAACTTCCTATTGGTAGAAATGAAATAGAATAATCTTTAGTAACTTAAAAAATTACATATGTACGTATGAACTATGATGTTTGTAATGAAGTTGACATTTTCATTTGATATGTACTTTACTTTTCAAATTTTTGGTCTCATCTCAATGCATTTTGTAATAAGTTTAAAATGATGAAGATATATACAAATGTCATTGTTCTGAAGTGAAGGAATTTAAAGTTCGCTTTTTTCTATTGTTGTGAATAGAGGTTAAAAATTTTTCTTCCATTCTCACGCTGTCTCTTTTCAGTGGCTAGTATTCCTGTCAGACCCGCTGTTATGAAGTATATTACACAGCAAGTTTTCTTTTAACTTGTTTGGACATCATCATAATTTCTAGATGTTTAACAGTGTAAACTGTATGTGGTATATTCATAATCTTGATATATATATATATATATATATATATATATATATATATATATATATATATATATATATATATATATATATATATATATATATATATATATATATATATATATATATATATATATATATATATATATAGTTTTCAAAAACTTTTATTTAAAAGAAGCACCCCGTTATTTGCAGACCTATTTTTTAGTCATATGAAAGAGAATTTATTCAAAAACCTATCTGAAAAGAAGACAGTTGATTTCGTTTTATCAATTAACAATACCAGTAGTTTATGATTATATCCCAGTGAATCGGACTTGAAATTCAAGACATCAAAGAGTCTTGACACATGTGTTTCTCACTGGATATTTTACTTTAAAAAGTAAATGTATAGTAACCTAAGAACAAGATTTTATAATAGTCGAGATTACTTTAACTTTTTCATCATCAACTTCCCTTAGTTATGAAGCAATATACCCTTATCACCTGCATAAGAATTTCATGTCTCCTAGTTGACACGATACGCAAGGGCATATTCTAAGTACGAAGAATTCTAAATGAGACACGATATTGAAAAACACGTCGATGAAACAAGAGTATCAATTATAGTCTCGTTTAAAGTCAGCATTTCGCAAGTTGTATGGTACAGTATTCAATGATCTTGTCAGCAAATGCTATCAATCATATAGTCAAATACTCAATGACGTTTTTCATATATGTTGAAAGCATTTATGTAAAAACTGAACTGTCTACGGATTTTTTTTCCGTTTGACAGATCGTGACAAGGAGCACAAGACTGGTTTTGATTGGTCGAAAGAAGATTCTTTCTTCTCAATGGCACCTGATCCCATCTCTGATGTACATTGACGTCCATGTTTGCTTTTCTCTGGATATGTAGCTTCAATGGATTTTTAAGTTTGATTTCTGTTCATTATATCCATATTTCATATTCTGTGTCTTTTTTGGTAGTCGAAATATGTATACAATGTACTTTTTATCTACGTTTTTATCTACACATAAGTTTTGAGCTTCCTAGTTTGAATTTACGCCGCCGAAATCGAAAATCGAGGTATTTAGTTTTTGATCTGTTCGTCCGTCTGTCTGTCTGTCCGCAAAAACTTTACCTGCCTATGACTCTTCGTTGGTTGAAGCTTGATTTCATATTTCTTAGGTTCATTTCTAGTGACAAGACCTTCCTTTGGATACCAACATATCTGATACGATAACTTTCACTTAGGAGTTTGACCCACTACTGCAATTATATTCCAAACCATAACTTTTAAAAAATTGGTGCAATAGATGAAAGAAGTTTGATGTGCCTTATCCTAAATAAAAAGAAAGAAGTGATGGAACAGATTAGCCATGTCGGAAGGGAGATAGACCAGTTAGAGAAAGAAGTGCTGACAGGGATTAGTGATCTAGGAAGGAAAGCAGACCAGGAGAAAAAGAAAGGAGAGTCCACCCAGCAATCACAAGAGGAAATTAGGCCAGATTGTTTACTATGCGTTATCTTAGAAGAAATGGCCAGTATCACGCAGGGATTAAAAGAAGTACTGAAAGAGATTAGTGATCTAGGAAGGGAAGCAGACCAGGAGAAAAAATAAAGGAGAGTCCAGCCAGCAAGAGGAAAATTCTGTGTATGTATTTTGATTCTGAATAAAATCTGTGTTCTTGTCTGTATTGTGTGTTATTGTTATTGTTTTCGGTAAAATCCAGTTTGAACTGGCTGACTGGCTAGACTGTGAATGAAATCGTGACGTCATAGTCACATTCTTGAGTCGCTGCCAAAATCGTAGTAGCAGCGTTGTGAATCGTAGTAGCAGCGTTTAGTAAAAAACTATATACAGTGTAAGCGCCCTATTGGACATATAGGGGCTGTGTACTGACCCACCTAGCCCCTAGGGTTGGGGTTAGGGGTTAGGGCTGTACTGAGTTGACCCACCTATCCCCCAGACCTGCACTCCCCTTGACCCACCTATCCCCCAGGGCCAAAAGTGCACTCCGTTGACCCGCCTATCCCCTCAACCCCAAAAGTGCACTCTGTTGACCCGCCTATCCCCTCAGCCCCAAAAGTGCACTCAGTTGACCCGCCTATCTAGACCCGTTATACTACTGAGAGTGCCTTATCTCTTCTATAATATAATACTTCTGATATGTAAAAATAAAATGAAGTACATACGTACATTTAGACGATTTCTTTGTACAACAAATTTGCGCGTCTACCACCAGGTAATTTGGACACGATGTTTTCATACATCTCCGTTTTCAATTACAACTCCCTGTACAAATGTAGCAGAATTCATAATGAAAGATTTTGGACGATTTTCTAACAAAACAGCATTGGTGAGTTAGTCTTTATCGTCAATTCCATGATCACATTTCTTCAAAAGCGTACTTAAATTTGAGTCTAAGAATATCTTAAAACGATGAACTATCGGATGTTTGTGGATAAGTGATGCTGTGTGTTGCATTTCAATTTTGCAGGACATGAAGAGTTCATTTGGAATTTGCATGTCAAAGTAGCGAAAAATGAAACATTCATTTGTTGTTATAAACATGTACCAAAACATTCTTAAGAACTCAGACATGCTTCTAACAAATTTTAAAGATCCATATTTAAAGATTATAGATGATTTAGTGATTTAATTGCAAGGTAAATTCATTTAAGCTTTGATGATCAGTGTACTGTTTAAGGTATAGATTTGGAGATGGACTCACATATCTTCAATGATTAAAAAAGTACTCAAAATTATACTAAAATTGCTAATTTATCAAATTAACATATATTTGTTTGTTAACATGATATAACCAGTCTTCATTTATTAAAAGCAACAATAATCAGTTCACAGTTCAGAATGTTGCAAATGCATTCCATATAGGACATAAAGAGTTGTTGTTGTTGTTGTTGTTGTTTTTTTTTTTTTTTTTTTTTTTTTTTGTAGATAGATGGAAAAACGGGTAAAAATATTTCATATAGTGAATTGGAAAATGACGTCATAAGATATGCAGATTTCTTCCGGAGGGTGGGTATGAGAAGCGGTGACGTCGTGTGTATATGCGGATCCAACACAATAGAATTCGCCCACGTGTTTCTGGCTGCAACCGGAATTGGTGCCACAGTTACGATAGCGAATGGACAACTAACATCACGTATTGATTTTCTATAGTAATTAATTGACATGCTTTGTGTGATATTTGAATTTTTTTTTTTTTTGATATTCCTTTCACTTCATATTATGTCATTTTTCTTAATACTTATAGTGTTTTTTCATTTAACATTTTCAAAGTGTCCTTATAGTGCATGTGGTACACAATACAATTGGTTTTATTATCCTTAAATTGTTCAAATGTACTTGGAATATGCATACACTGCCTTATAATTAGTAAAAATAAAATCGAAATATTTAAATAAATTTAAGGGTTTTTTTTCATTTATCTAGGTGAGTTATTAGACCAGATAACAATTTCAAAAGCAAAGTTTGTATTTGCCACTGACGATACTTTTAGGAAATGTCAGGAAGCACTACAAATGACCAATTATAGCAAGGTAATCTCATCAGAAGCACTTGCTCTGTAAATTCAATGTTATCGTACATTAATTGAAAGGAAAACTCTAAAAGTTTTTTTTTTATTATTTTAGAATGTGTTCAGGATCGACCATGGGAAATTATCAACAATGCTTTCTTATTCAACCCATGTGGATTCGTCCGCTTTTCTTAATTATGACGTCAGTGATGACGATGTAGCATTGGTGCCCTTTTCAAGTGGAACTACAGGGTTGCCCAAAGGTGTAGAACTTAGCCATGGCAATCTGACAGCTCAGCTGAGTCAGATTAGGTAGTACACAAACACACCATCATGAAAATGACAATAACTTATTTAAACAGTGTACATGTAAGTTGAAGATGGATGCAGTAATTCGTAATTCAAGATTATTTCATCACGTTCCAAAAATATATTTTGTTTAGAAGTGCCTTAGCTATAGGCCAATAATATTTTTATTATCATTTCTTATTTCAGACATCCATCTGTTTTACCCCTAACACCAGAAGATGACAGGGTGATCACAATGCTGCCTATGGTTCACATCGCTGGACTTGTGATCGGTTTATTAAATCCTCTGGCTCAAGGCGCTACAGTCGTCATACTACCTAAGTTTGCACCAGAAGATTTTCTTAAATGCCGTTGAGAAGTACAAGGTGTAGTTCTAAATTTCTTCAAAGAAACATAATCTTGATCAAAATAGTATTGTTTAAGATAACATTCTACATGAAGGTGATGCTTACTCCTCCGTGGCATCTAATCCTATATCTCTCATTTAGAGCTCCGTGTTTGTTTTGCTTTTAATTTGTATTGTAACAATGGAAGGAGCATGATTTCTGTCTGTTACCTTTATAATTCATCACTGCAAGGATTTGACAAGAAACTTTGTAAAATTGCAGGGGACATTTTCATTACTTGCTCCTCCAGTGGTAAATTTCCTCGCCACTGATCCTATGGTAGATAAGTACGACTTGTCAAGTCTTCGAGACCCATACAGCGGAGCCTCAACTTTGGGCAAAGAACTGACGGAGAAAATGGTACAGCGATTAAAATTGGACGGCATCAGGCAAGGTATTATAATTATATAGGTATATCTGATTTTTCTCAATAATGTTCTTTTCGGTAATTCTGTCGCCCGCGTGGCGCAGTGGTTAGAGTGTCTGCTCTAGAGTCGCCAAGTAAAGAAATATACATGATCCTTAATTACGTCACCGGCTCGAATCCCATTGTGGGACGTGGAAACCGTATGAGACCGTTTATATCGAGGCCCTGTGTCGCAGTAGATGCTGGCAAGAAAAAGATCCCTTACTGCTCAATGGCCCTAAGTGCCGAGCATAAGAGAAAACTTGCAGCTCTACCGGCAAGTGTTGGCGTTTCCATACGAGTAAAAAAATTCTTGAAAGGAACGTTAAACAACATATAATCAATCTTTCCGGTGATTTAAGTGTTGGTGCATTGGCAACGAACTTTAAGCTTACAAAGTTCAAGTACTTGAACTGATAATCCCAGCGAAATTCATAGAAACTTAAAGTTTTAGTCTGACATCTCTACCAATCTCAGACCAGTGTCACACAATTTCAGACCAAAATTTTTAGACTCTTCGAATCTTGTTGAGATTACTGAACTGTCTGAAGGGGGGGGGGTGTCTAACGGAACATTCGTATGTGAATATTATACTCTATGTAATTCTAGGATATGGGATGTCCGAAACAAGCCCTGTCGTAATGACTGACCCACCGGGATACAAACAATATGGATCTATAGGACGCCCAATTCCTGCAACCACAACAAAGGTACACAGTCCTTTCTAACAAAATATAACATTTTTTCCATCAAATATGACAACTTGTTCAAAAGTCTGAATTGAAACTCAATATGCTAGCTGAATTTTACAAGGAAGCACCTACGTATTTCTAACAAAAATAAAATATTCCAAAAAAAAAAAAGAATTTCTAATGTCATAAAAAGATGTTGCACCCCTGAAATTTTTAACATTATTTTGGGGACATATTATCGAGATATCTTCCGAGAATTCAATATAAAATAAAAACACACTTTGGTCATTGAAATAGCCGGTATTTGTAGGTGGACGAATATGTGTCCAGTTATTTGTTTGAATTCACTGATCTTCAACATAATCCTTTCGGATTTTTTTCTTTGGTAAAAAAAAATATTCATGCATTAAAAAATAACTGCTTTACACCTTACTAAGTAATATGCTATCTTGACAATTTTTCCTTGCGATTTTATTCATATTTCTCCATATGAGTAAAAATTCTCGAAAGGGACCTTAAACCAGATACATTCAAATCAATCAATCATACTTTTTCGTTTGTTTTTCTAAAGCTTGTTGATCCCAACTCGGGGAATGACATTACCAAACCAGGGGAACATGGGGAAATTTGGGTCAAAGGTCCACAGGTCATGAAAGGTTACCTAGGTCAATCTCAATCTACACAGGATGTTATCACAAGTGATGGTTGGTTCAAAACGGGTAAGCATACAATTTCGTTCATATAAAATTTCAGAGAATAATATGTATAAAAATTTCAAGATTTGTTTGCTTGGACATTCATCAAACTTGTTTGCTCATCATAGGTGATATTGGATACTTTGACAAAGATGGAAATTACTTTGTTGTTGACAGGATAAAAGATGTCATCAAATACAAAGGCTATCAGGTAAGTTTGCTAATATGATAAACCTAATCTGATAAGAAATGAAAGAATTTTTTTTTATTTTGTTTTGGAAATGACTGGATGTCAGATTGCTCAGTGTAAATAATAGGGAAAAATAGTAAAATAAGACATAAATATAGGTCATAATACACAGTGAAACGTATTACACAGATGTCAGATAAGGCAGTTTTCACTGTAATGGAGAACGTTGCCACGTTCCTCTGACTTTTAATTGATATAAAGCTTAAGATTAATTTTTTTAACAGATTGCCCCAGCCTATCTTGAGAACATTCTGATGTCACATCCCAGCGTGAGGGAAGCGGCGGTTATTGGAGAGCCAGTGGGGGTTTATGGGGAGGTCCCTAGGGCATATGTCATTCCCTCCTCTCCCGTTTCTGAAGAAACCCTCATCAACTATGTGAACAGTGAGTGTCTGAGGAACTTATTTAATGAAGGTTCATCTGCAAAACGTTCTTGAATGATGTACCCCCGGTATGCATTTAAAAAGGTCAGCTTAGGAACATACAACATACAATGTAACAATGTTCCTAAATATCTGTCAGTGCCGCTTATAACAACTTATTTCGATTCCTCCAATTGCTGAACCATTATTGAGTGAGCAAAATAGGCCTAAGGGCCGCAACACTAATATGAGTCACTCTGGCAAACTTTTTATCGGCAAATTTTTTTCTACATATTTCTTAAACTTAAGTTCATTTGAGATCAAAAAACTGTCAACATGTATAATGTGCCAATATCATTTGTTTACCTTTCCAAAGTCTTATTAACACTGCACTTTTGTTTACAGAACAAGTTGCACCCTACAGGCGATTAAGGGGTGGAGTGGTGTTTACTACAGAGATTCCTAAATCCCCCAGTGGAAAAATACTCAGACGACTCATACGACCCCAACAAACATAAACATGTACAAGTCTTCAGAATCAGTCCAGCATCTTTTATATTACTTGTACTTGTTCAAGAATTATTAAACTTTTTTCAGTCATACAATTTATTTTCATTTGATGACAAGAATTTTTCAAGCAAATTTTCCTAGAGGAATAACACTTTAAGTACTTTAACATGACCAGTAAACAGAGACATATATATAGCTTCAATTTATCATCAATCATACTTCCATCCTTTGCATAGTATTTCACAAAAATATTATATTTTTCTCTTTCATACAATGTACTTTCATAAATTGGATGACCATGCAGAATTTCTTGTTTAACCCTTGCAAACAGTGGTATATATAAACAGTTATAGATTTACTATCAATCACTCTACTACCCTTTGCAACAAATTTCACAGAATTATTCCACTTTTATCTTTCACACAATGTACTTGTATTTTTTTTGAAGCTCAGACTTTGTTGAGTTAGAGGCCTAGTAATCACCCTTCTTCATCCTCCTTCTGCATTTGTTCTATCAACCTCTTCCTCTCCTCGGCCTGTCGGAGTTTGTGTAAAACTAAACTCTCAAAATCTCGGGCACTTGAGGTAGTACTAGGAGCATAGGATGAAAACTCATTCTGTAAACAACCAAACAAATTTAGTAATACAGTAATACACTCAGCTGCATCGCCATGATTGTATTATTTGATATTTAACAAAACTTGATCCTCTTACACTATATCAGAATTTATAAAACTTATATCTGGTGTACAAACTAATGAATTGGTATAATGGGTTTTAATTCCCATCTAGCTTGTAAAAAAAGATTTGATTGGTTAGCAAACCAGGTGTAAATTTCCACATTATGTCACGATGTAGAACGTTGTAAATCTAATCGATAGGTTGAAAGACAGTTGATTGGACTTATGTTTACAAAGAATTTTGGGGAATATATAGAAAATAAGATCATTATCAAGGTCCAATCAAAGGTGTACCAGGATTTACCCCTCATTGCATTCCATACACCTTTCAGCCTTTCGCCTCAGGGTGTATGGAATAATACATGAGGTGAATCTAAGTACACCCGTGATTGAACCTGGATAAACCCATTTATACACATACATCAAACTTAAATACACCTTCTTCAAACTGTGTTATATATAATCAGTTGCAAATGAAAATATATATATGAGGAAACTCACGCTTGTAAAGCTATCAGCTGTGTGCTGGGGACCTGACGCAGTCCGGGGATTCCCTGTGTGTGGGGGTCTCTCAGGAGGAGGCTGTATCCATGACAACGTCAGGGGATTACCCGATAAACCTTTCTCATGTTCCTTTGCATCTTCCTGTTGGAAAAAAATCAGGTATTTCAAAAACTGGAGCTTAATACATGTATTCGAAAATAAATTCATATCTGTAGGAAAAAATTAAGGTATTTCATAAACTACAGCTAAATATTCAAAATTAAATTCATATACAGATAATGCTTTCATACTTAACCAATAATTTCAGTAACTAAATATTTTAGGCCTTTTTTTCAGCCATACAGTAAAACTTGCTTATAAAGAAACAATATATAAGAAAATTTCAATTTTAATGGATCTTTTTACAAATACAATGTATACCTGGCAATTTTTTATTTATATTTCTTATATGGATATAAAGAAATTCATATATATGGAAGTAGAATTTGATATCCCAGTGGCTTCCTTATAAATAAGTTATATTGTACATTCCTATTTTTGTGTACTGGTAACTACTTACAGCTTCAGCCCATGAACCAAACTCCACAATAGCAGTTCCTCCTTTCTTTTTTGACATAATGAGATTAAGGACATCTCCATACTAAAAAAATACAACAAATAATATCAAGATATATTTTGCCAAATAACCAAATTTTCAAAAAAAAAATTTATTAAAAAAACAGAAAGGTGCGTGGTCACACTGTATTAATAACAATAAAAGGACTAGTCAAGGCAAATGTGTATCCTGATCAGAAAGGTTAAGTTTTAGGACTTTCATATTTTCAGTTATACATGTAATAGCAATTAAATTGTTCCTTGTACATGCATTTTCAATCGACATTTATGTTAGGTAGATATATTTGTCTTTTGCGCTCTAATAATAAACAAAATCACAACAAAAAAGATGGGGATTATCAGGAAGAGTTATCTTCCATGTTTCATGAACAGAGCTTGCTTGAAATAAATTTTTAAAGAATGTTACCTTGCTGAAGAGATCTGTCAGAATTTCTGAGCTATAACCTCCATTTGTATCATCATTCTTTTTACACTTCCACTTCACCTACAACATACAGAATTTTTTTTTCTTAAATAAGAATACAATAAAAACATATAAAATTGGCAAGAGCTAGAAATGTTTTACCTTTATAAAGTAGGAATAATCTCCAATAGATTCAGAGAGTCGTTAAGAATAACATTGTTTAGAATGTTTCAAGAGTTATGGTAAAATACAGGTGTCAAAAGAAATAACCTTAGTTTAGGAGTGATAGCAAATTTAACTTTTATAGTAGACAGGAATCGGTAAGTATTAGGAGTGTAAGTCTAGATTGCCTTCTTTTAGGACTGTCAGTTCTACCTTTAGTTTAGGGGTGTCAGGAACACTGCTGTCATTATTTGCCCCCTCATCTGGCTCCAATCTTTTCTGTCCCTCCCTGATCTCCTCCCTCAGTCTCTCTTGCTCCTCCTCTAATAGCTTTGAACCTTCTTTACGTAATCTTTCAATCTGAAAGATGAAATGGTACATGTATGTATCCATCTTAATCAATATTTAAACTAAGCAACTTAAAATTTTTATTTTTAAGATATTTTTGAATTCTGCACTATATTTCCTTGGACATGATGAAAGAAAAATGAGATCTCAAATAAAAATTCAACAGCTGAAATATTTATTTAAATAAGACTTTTATCTGGACCAGATTCTTTATTCATCACTTCTGTACACTTACCTCTGCTTGTAGATTTCTTTTCAATGTTAAATCTAATTCTGTTTGAATATTTGCAGCCTTTTCTCTGCCCTCTAGATCTGTGGAAAATAAACACAAAAGCATGAATTTCTTTAAGGTTTTTATGTTCCTATCAACAATTCCCATTTTCACTTAGCTTATAGAATAAAAAGCACATGATTCTTGTTTTATCTGCTTTAATATCAATTCTTTACAATGTATCTTACCTTCTTTGAACTTTTTGCGTTTACTATCAAGTTCCTTGTGACGGGCTTCTGCAGCTTTCTTGGCCTTTTGAGCTTTATCATATGCAGCCTACATATACAACAATGTGTTGTGTTATTCTCATGTGATATATGATGTATGCACAAACTATTCAATGTAGTGGTTACTAAGCAAACATACTGGTCAACAATTTAAAAAGTACATTTGAATTCTCTTTCTTTTATTAAAAAAAAAAATTAAAAATACAAGTATTATTTTTTGGAGTTATTTAAACTTTTTATTGTTTCAGTAAGTCTCAAATTCTTACCCTAGCAGCAGCATCTGTCAAAATTTCAAGTGCCTTTGCTAACTGATGAAACAGCTCAGCTGAAAAAGATAGACAATTTCCCATTAAATGACACCCCTCCAATAACTTCATTCAAGATCACATACAATTATGCAAAAATGTTTATTTATTTAATGCACATTTTCAATTCACCAAACTGAATTTTATCAAATTGATGTAAATATTTCCAAAACATAATTATTAAATCCTTCATACCAGCTTTGGGGTCATCGGGATTTTTATCAGGGTGGCATTTCAAAGCCTGTTTTCTGTAGGATTTCAAAATCTGAAAGACAGAGAGAAAATTATGAAAAAATATTCAAAGATTTTCTCATAATTATTCAAAATATTTGCATGTGTTTGCCTAGTTAATCTAAGACCATAGCTCATACAGAAATATACATGTAACGATGTGTATACGTTTGCGTATGTAGCCATGTGCTGCTTTCTTTGCAGCTAAATTTCGTGATTGAAACCTACCTATGAAATCTTAAATTTTCAATTTTTGATATACATACCTCTTTTTCAGTGGCATCCTCATTCACGTTGAGAATTTTATACAAATCTAATTTCAGAATGTCAGGGGATCCTCCAGACATTTTGGATCCTGGAACATAATTTTTATCAATTTTAAAAATTAGAGAAAAATGATGTTATCTGTACCTTTAACACTTATTCTTTTAACTAAAAAGAATTTAAGTACATACAGAAAAAGGTAAAATAACCAAATATAGTTGCCATATCTATGTATACTTACAAGTTACACGCAATTTGAATTTCCTCGACTATCTTCTACTTTCACTTCACCATACTATTTTTAACTCCTTTTCAAAAGAGTTGAATTCCAATATTAAGTCGCACATATCTTATTTCGAATTTTTTTTCGAGAGGTTTATCACTGACAATGAAATTACTTATATTTTTTAATTTAAAAAAATGTTTATTTCACTTTCACAATTTTATCATAATTTTACAATTAAAGCTATTTTCTTTATTCATTGAAAAGAAAAATTTTAAAATTTTCGACAAGTGAAGAACAGTGGTGTGCTTCTTTACTTTGCTGAGTATTTTCTTTTAGAGTCTTTGTAGACCTATTATTATATTTCTTTAAAATATTTTATACTGAATCTATCTTCGCTATGGGATTGTTTGCCAAGAGAGAAAATAATAATGATCTTGTTAACCCCCCTCCCCCTTGAAAGTATGAGGGTATATACATGTATAGTTAGAATGATATAACTGTGTCTCGGTACAAGCCCTCACCCCTTGACAATATCATTTTAAGTAGAACAGGGTATCTAATACATGTAGTAATCACGTGATGTCCGCACGACTATTTGGGGTACTCATCTCTTAACTCCTCTTATACCGCTGAATGAAATTTAATGAGACTTTCACAGAATATTTGTTACATAGTCACATTGTACATCTCTTATTTTAGTTTTTGATCGCACACATATTTCAGGTACCGTTTCCCATGGAAAAACATCGACACTGTCATATTGAAGGGTACATATCTCTTATCTGCAACTCCTTCTATATCAATGCATAAAATTTGACGATACTTTCAAAGGTTTTTTATAACATAATGCCTTTTGCACCCTCCCCCATACTTTACTTTTTGATCTGATACTTATTTCGGGTCTCTCAGAGCAAAACATGAAGTTTGCCATTTAATCATATGGGAGTCGGGAGGTGCATCATTTAGTGGGCTCAGTACTCACAGTGCCTCTAGTTTTATAAATGATATTAATTAAAATTTAATGATATTAATTTGGTGAGTTCACTGCTCACAGTACGTCTACTTTTATAAATATGATAAATTACACTTATCATACCCCCGCTTGAAAAGTGGGAGGGTGTATAGTGATTATAGTGATCGGGATGTTCGTCCGTCTACCATCTTTTGACCGCAACTCCTCTTTTATACTACTAATTGAAATTCAAAATGAGACTTGGAACACAGAATCTTTGTTACATATATAGTTCCCTTATGCACCTATCATTTTCATCTTATCATCATCAACACTTATTTTGGGCTCTCCAGAGCAAAACATGAGCACGACAATTCTTTTTATAATACTGAAGAGTATTCATCTCTTCTCCACAACTCCCCCTACACCACTAAATAAAATTTAATGATACGTTCATAGATTATTTTTTATTACACAATGCCATGATGCACCTCCTGTTTTACTTTTTGATCTGACACTTATTTTGGGTCCCCCAAAGCAAAACATGGACTTAGCCAATATAATCAAATGGGAGGCGGGGATATCATTTAGTTAGCTCATTGCTCACAGTACCTCTTCTTTACCATGAATACCGTAAGAAAACTCAAGAAAACCCCAAAATAGTGGTTCCACACAAAATCTCTCTCTCTCTCTCTCTCTCTCTCTCTCTCTCTCTCTCTCTCTCTCTCTCTCTCTCTCTCTCTCTCTCTCTCTCTCTCTCTCTCTCTCTCTCTCTCTCTCTCTCTCTCATAGGAGTCATGTAACATCATATGTGTTTGGCCGAAGATGTGATGATTGTTACGGTTGTATGTCTAAAATTGTAAACACCGATTAGCAATTTGAGTAAAATATATCTAGACCACAGTGAAATTGGAACGTTTTACAATCGTTTTGCATGAAAAGAATTAAAAGAAACAAGATTGATGGACTGCAACACGGCCTGATGAAGTAGTGACCCTCGCTATCTCTAACAATCTCCAATATCTGACACGTACCATACCGAGGCTACATAGCTGGCTATGTCGTTGTGTTATAGGGCGATAATGGACGCCAACTGTTCATTAGTGGAACTTCTCGGGGCCCCTGTCTAAAATCTTATCACATCTACCAGAAATAAGGTGTTTTAATGATACATTTTTAATTACTGTATTGAGAGTTAATAAAATTGGGGGGGGGGGGGTGTCATATATAATTGTGGTACATACGTTTGAGTCATTTCTGGCTTTTTATGTAAAAATTTCCGTCAGAATTATTTCCCATATTGTTAATTCATTTGAAATATATCCGCTCCCGAGCTTTTTGATGATGATTCCAGGTATGTTTGTTTGTTACTTTTGAAAACAGTGTACATAAAATGTAAACAGTGGCGCTCAGGAGAAATAAGGTATATAACAGTATAAGTGTCACTTAAGGGAGGGGTTATTAGTTTGATGTCAGTGGCTACTAATTAAGTATCCATAACTGCCAAACAGAAAAGAGGTCCTGAAGGACAAAAAATAACAAAAACAAAACAATAAAAAGGCTGTATGCAATATAAAATCCACATACAAGGAAAAGTGTGATGCAAGTAACCGTTACATGTTGATTTAGTTAATTTTTATTTAGATAATTAATAATTACTGAAAAATTAATGGCAATTTTCAAAAATCTTCTTCTCAAGAACCACTTGAAACTTATGTGGAAACATCCTCAGGTAGTGTAGATTCAAATTTGTTCAAATCATGACCTCCGGGGGTAGGGCGGGGCCACAATGGACGATCAAATTTTTACATAGGTATATATAGGGAAAAATCTTTAAAAAATGAGAACAGCAAAGCCATGATTTTATTTATATGGAAGCATCCTCAGGTAGTGTTGATGCAAGTTTATTCAAATCATGACCCCTGGGGATAAGGCGGGCCCACAATGGACGATCAAAGTTTTACATAGAAATATGTAGGAAAAATCTTTTAAAATCTTCTTCTTTAGAATAGCAAAGTCATGATTGGTCATTTTTTATATGGAAGCATCCTCTGGTAGTGTAGATCCAAGGTTGTTCAAATCATGATCCCCAGGGGTATGGCGGGGCCACAAAATCAAAGTTATAGTATAAAGCAAAGTCATGATTGGTCTTGTTTATTTTTATAGAAAATTTAAAATAAATGGGACCAAAATAAAAGATCAAACTTATAGGGAAGAAAGCCACAGTTAGTCAAAATATGTTAGCATGTTAGTGTAGATGCAAGTTTGCATAGATAGATGTTTGTTCAAATCATACGCACTCACCCACCCCCTTTTTAGGATCGGGACCACTTAGCTATAGGTATGTGTTGAATTGATTTTCTCCTAGCCATATAGTGCTCAGGGGAGCGATGTGGCCTATGGGCCTCTTGTTTAGTTTTTCTTTTATACAAGAATATTTTTTCCTAGACTGTAATTTGCAATATGTTTTTTTTTTCAAACATCGTCTTTATAGAAGAAAAACTTTCATTTTTATGAAATTTAATAAATGTCCAATTTTAGCATAAAAATTTTAAATCCCTATACTTACATATGTACATGAATCTATAATACCTATATAGGTACACCCTGCCCCCTTGCAATCGAGTGATTCGAGTCGGTAACCGGGGAGAGGGGTCAAAATACTTAGACCTGTTTACGAGGTTTCTCATTTCAAATCATCTGCAACTCATTATCACAATGCATCAAGGTTGCATTACGATAATACTATTGACGTTCAAATCGTTAAAAAAGTCGTTTCCTAAACCTTAGTCACAGATTTCTACCACCGACGTTGTATAATTAAGGTATATTGTACGGCAGGGCACTTATATCCTACAGACAAGCAAATCAAAGAGAGATACCAATATTTCAGGATTCCCAACCCTAAAAAATTCTTCATAATCTACAAATATACGTGCACAGCGTTCATCGTTCAAGAATATGTTGTGGGTAATCCTTCTGAATTCCTAAAATCACGGAGTATGGCTTGGAACATTCTCCCTTTAGAACAAATCAATTTCACGTGGTACTTTGTATTATATTTATTATTCGATAATCATGTTCGGTACAATTGATCGAAATTCTCTGATAATTTGACGTATTTGTGTTACATGTATATTGTAGTTACAATACAATTATATATAAGTAAAATCTTCCTTGCACATAAGTTATAAGACATCGGAATGGCGGTGATGTAAATTGGAAATGGAAACTTTCTGAGGTTCATTAACTCTTTAACAAGACCCTCTCCCCCGCTCTGATACTAGTAAATGGCTATTACGCATGTGTATGATTACCGAGTTGAAAAGACATTTCTGTCAAATTCCATTATGCACTGTAACCATTTTGAAATCATGCAATTCAATCCTAAATCACATTTTTTCGGGAAAAAATAGCGTAAAAACGATTTGAACAAAAGGTTGATGACCCTTTAGACCCATGTTAACCAACAATCAACATTAATTCTATTTATTTATTGTATATATTGGATTAATTCCAAGTATTAAATTTGAAATAAACAGGCTAAATTTTTACTTTGCTACCGGTATTTTTTGACGATAATTGAAATACCAGTATATATATATCAATGAATTTTCTTTCAGATAACATTGTCCACAGGCATCGCCCACAAAGATCTTGAGATATGTGATTTGTTATTGAATTGTGCACAAACTATCAAAAAATTAACGTGGACGGCTGTGGCAACACAGTTTTCAAAGGAAAATTACCCAAGAAATGTGCCATTTTGAGGCTTTTTTGTTGAAAATAGAGAAATGCTTTACCAACTGTCATATTTAAAGTTGAAAATTCCAACTTCTTTCATGATTTATCACAGTCATTTATTTAACTAATATTTAAGCCAGTTTCAAAACTTTTTGATGTCATCACATTTTTAGGGCGCAATAAAGCTATAACCATACCTTCTTCTTTTAAACGAGTGAACAAAAGGTTGATGACCTTTAAGAACCATGTTAACAACAATCAACATTAATTTTATTGTTTATAATCAAAACAATGTTGGATTTTTTCCAAGTATTAAATTTGAAATAAAAATGCTAAATTTTTACTTTGCTATTTTCTGACGATAATTGAAATACCAGTATATATATATACAAATGAAA